CTATACATTCCGCTTTTTATTTTAAACTCCAATACATCTGGTACAAAATATGTTTTTTATTTACCCAACTAATTGACATGGATACATTTCAGATGAGTTGCTCTCCACTAACTTCTCGCAAATGTGAACAAACGATTATTTATTTTTTCAGATATTTACAAAGTCAATTTTTTTACGCCTCAAAAGATGATAAAATATGTAACAACAAAAGCAAAAGCTCAGCTGCTAATTATTTCCAACAAGTTATTGTAAATGAGATTAATATAAATTTATTTATTTTTTTTTTTTTTAAATCTGAACTTATTGGATTTTGCAATACAACTACCCCTCGAACAATGTTTTCCGTTGTTGAAAGGAAATATTTAGCGACTGGCATGAAATTCCACAAATCGTAAATAACAAGCAGCCAAATCAAATATCAATTAAATTTGCATTTCAAAAATATTTAGTTACACTTATCAATGTGTAAAATAAGGGGGGGGTGGGCTTTGTGAGGCCTCGGAATATTTTATAGCCTCAGCCATATGGCTAGAGAGGGAGGGTATATATCATTTGATACGGCCAAAACGTGCCTCATCGAAATTACGGGTTATAGACCCTAGAGTTATGTTTTATGATTTAGTAATAAAACACATTAAGTTGTATTTTAATATTTTATTAAAAATGTATTATTTCGGCTAAAGACTTAATATTTAACCGATAAATAATTATACAACTTTCCAATTTGAGATCTCTTTAAGAACTGAACTTTAAACAAACTACATTGTATTACAAAGGTAAATATTCTACAATTGAACTTGATGAGCATGAAAATATGTTATTTATAATAATTTGGGAGTTAATGAGGAGTTGGAGAACATGACTGCTTAAGAGCAAGAGGGAGAGAGAGAGAGAGTGGGAATATAACAGTAAGTTTCTCGGAGAGGAATTGTGAATTAAAGAAGTTGGATTAAATCAGAGATGTCTAGTAAGTTTTAATAGTGTAAGTAAGGAATAGTGAGTTAGTTACAGTAGAGGCAATATAATATGACTCTAGGTCTCTTTGGACCAAATCCGTTTCAGAACATTTGGAGTCGATCTAGCGTTGTCCGTCCGTTTATCTGTCTGTCTGGCTGGTGCGCACGATAACTCTCGACGGGAGTATTCAACTTGGTCCAAATTTGGTACAATGTAATATTATTATCAAACTTAGATTGAGTTCGGAGATGGGCACTATCTGCCCTCTCCTTTTGGTAACTACCCCACAAAAGATCGGAATTTTCAAAAAAAGAAAAAAATTTACTGTACAGAAAGAGAAAGGACTATCCGATTTTGCTCCTACTTTTACAAATCCTAATATTTACATCAGTTCTAGGTCAGGTGCGATAATGGACAATGTCGGTCCATTCCATCGAGTACCTCCCCCACAATGGGTCAAACTTTTGAATAATAACAACTCCTATTAAATGTGATGTAAGAGTCCGATTGTCTTCAAATTTCACACATCGTAATATTTTTATCAATCCAAGGTCTGGTGTTACGATGGAATGTATTGGTCCACTCCTTCTAGTACCTCCCCCACAAAAGGTCGAAATTTTCAAAAAAAAAAGTATTTTCTGCACAGAAAGAGAAAGGATAATCCGATTTTTCTCCTACTTTGCAAATCCTAATATTTGTATCAGTTCTAGGTCAGGTGCGAAAATGGGCAATATCGGTCCACTCCATCGAGTACCTCCCCCACAAAGGGTCAAAGTTTTACAACTCCTATAAAATGTGATGTAAGAATCCGACTGTCTTAAAATTTCACACATCCTAATATTTTTTTTAACCCAAGGTCTGGTGTTAAGATGGAATGTATTGGTCCACTCCTTCTGGTAACTCCCCCAAAAAAGGTCGAAATTTTCAAAAAATGTATTTTCTGCACAGAAAGATATAGGATATTCCGATTTTGCTCCTACTTTGCAAATCCTTATATTTGCATCAGTTCTAGGTCAGGTGCGAAAATTGACAATATCGCTCCACTCCATCTATTACCTCCCCCACAAAGGGTCAACATTTTGAATAATTACAACTCCTATAAAATGTGATGTAAGAATCCGATTGTCTTCAAATTTCACACATCCCAATATTTTAATAAACTCAAGATCTGGTGTTAAGGTGGTATATGGCGGTCCACTCCTTTTAGTACCTCACCCACAAAGGGTAAAAATTTTTTCCATAAAGCTCATAAAACACGAAATTAACATCCGATTCCATTCAGACTTGATACATTTCAATATTTCAATCAACACAAGATCTGTTATAGAGATGGTAGAGATCGGACCATTCCTTCTGGTACCTCCCCCACAAAGGGTCAACGTTTTGAATACCCAAAATGTTTATAAAATCCGAAATAAGCATCCGGTTCCCTTCACACATCCTATTATTTTTACTAACACAAGATCTGCTGTAAAGATGGAATATATCGGACTGTTGTGAAGATGATAGATATCCGTCTACCCCTCGTGGCAGCTCTCCCACAAAGGGTCAATATTTTCAATTCAATTTTCAATATTTTATACCCTACACCACAAAGTGGTCAGGATATTGTGTCTTTGTGCATTTGTTTGTAACAGGCAAAAGGAAACGAGATAGACCCATAGTTCCTTTTGATGATCTGCATAGAATCACATTCTGAGTCGATTTAGGCATGTCCGTCCATCCGTCTGTCCATGTATTTTTGTAAACAAAGTACTGTTCGCATTTATTGCGCTATCCAGATGAAATTTTGCACAAATCATTTGTTTGGCCCAAGGACGAACCCTATTGAAATTGAAGATAATCGGTTAAAATTTAGATATAGCTCCCATATATATCTTCGTCCGATTTGCCTTTTATTGTGCACCAAACGTGTAATATAAGCGCGAATTGTATGGAATTTTGCACATACAACCAAATTAGGCCTGAAAATAAGTATGTCAAATTTGATCGAAATCGGTTCAGATATAGCTATAGCTCCCATATATATTGTTCATCCGATTTGTTATTTTTGTCCTCCGCAGCCGTAATATGCACACTGTAACAACAATATTTGGGGATATATATCAAATACAGCTCAGAAATACATTTGCTAAATTTTATCGAGATCGGTTAAGATTTGGATGTATCTCCTATATATAACTTCGTCCGATTTACCTTTTATTGTGCACCAAACATCTAATATTTGCCCAAATGGGATGAAATTTGGCACTTACGACCAAATTGCGTCTAGAAGCTAGTATGTCAAATTTGGTGAAGATCGGTTCAGATATAGCTATAGCTCCCATATATATTGTTCATCCGATTTGTTATATTTGTTACCCACAGCCGTAATATGCACTCCGTAACAACGGAATTCAGGGAAACATATCAAATACAGCTCAGAAATATATTTGCTAAATTTTATTAAGATCGGTTCCGATTTCGATATAACTCCCACATATATCTTTATCCTATTTCAAATTAATTTTGCACCAAATGGGCAATACATGTCCGAAATCAAAAGATTCAAATGCTTCGGCATATTTAGTCCTTTGGACTTTAAATTACAATTATAATCATAGCGTGTATGATGGAATTCTCCCATAAAAACTTTTAATTGTTATGCGGAGCTCTACTAAATTAGCAAAGTGGTGTAGGGTATCATAAAGTCGGCCCCGCCCAACTTTAAGACTTTCTTTACTGTTTTTTTTTTATTAAATATTTGAAAATGAAATTTCAAAATGAGAATAAAAAATTGAAATAAAACTATGAAATGACCCAGACCACCAGAAACCGTTTTCATTTCAATTATTCGTTTGTTGTTATCAGGTGTGTGTGTGTGTGCAAGTGTATCGGCGTAACAACTGACATTATTGCCTCGTAATGAAATTTGTTTGTAAAAAATAATTTACACAGGTGAATGATATGGGTATAGCGGTCGGTGTCGGGTTTCTTTTGTAGTTTACCCTAACCTCAACCTTGAGAAGCAACAGAAAACAAATAAATAAGAAAAAAAGCTACTAGACAAGTCAAAACGGCGTTAAGTTCAATAACCAACATTACGTTCATATCCACCACCCTGAAAAAAACATGAGACAATAAAAAAAAAACAAGTTAAAAAATTTTAGTCCGTTGTGCTGACTGATTTATATCCTCAGGTCTGCAGCCAAAATGTTTGCGTGCCCAAGGCTTTATGACGGCCCACACCACCACCATGGCCTGCGCTTGAGTTCTGGTGGCCAACCGAATTTGCACTCTTTCAGCTAACCTCTTTGGCAAGTAAACACGATCATTTTGTTTGTTTACAAACTGCTGAACAACGAAGGTTTTCTCATCGGAGAAAATCAAATTCGGCAGTTCACCACTTTCCGCCAAGCGAAGCAACTCTTTAGCTCTTTTGAGCCTATTTTTTGCAATTTCAATGGCCTTGCCCCGAGCTCATTTTTCAATATTTGCCGAATGGAATATTGCGATATGTTCAGGTCACGAGCTATTCTTCGGCCACTTACATTTCGAACCATTTCTGCTGATCTTGCTATTTTCTTCCGTCCACTTCCTTGACGTCGGGCTACGCTACCAGTATCACGGTAACGAGCGATGGTACGAGACACAAAAGATTTATTCGGATTTAAATGCTGGAGTGCTCTAACGATAGCGACTTGTGGTTTTCCAGCCAAAAATAAAGAAATCACACTATCACGCTTGAATTCCATCACGAATAACTTTTTTTCTCACCAAAATGCATTTGTACGCTTGTAAAAAATATAATGAGCTGTCACTGGAATAATTTTAACAGCTTTCGGACGAGTGGCTTAGAATTGACAGAAGTCTGAAATTGGTTGCAGTTTTTTCATCTCACCCTGTACCTGCAAATAACCCTTTTAATTTATATAACTAAAACAATATCCTTTTATTTGCCGTATTGTCTCCTGGCCATATGGTGGAATAACCAATCTACCCACACCACCCATCAATTTCCCAAAACCCCTAGCTATACTAATTAACTTTGTTTTTATTTACAGGTTAGCACTATTAACCCCAAAGTTTATCATACGGCAACATTTCTGGGTCTGCTGCCAGCTCAATTAATCAACGTTTATTTGGGTTCAACCCTTAGGTCAATGCATGAGGTACTAAATAATCATGGGACAGCGATAACTGGTTACATTAGTTTTGGTGTTGAGGTAAGTTGCTCGAATTCCCGCCCTCCTATACACATGGGGAGGTAGAAAGCCATTAAAGTTAAATGTTTGATAAATACATATGTTGACATACATACATATGTACGACAAACAACAGCTCATGTGCATGTTTTGTCGTTTTTGTTCTATAACAACAATAAATGATGATAATTGATTGTTGTTAATTTAAATCAATTAAGATTCGAAACGAAAGTCATGAAGAACTTGAGCAACAGTCGTGTAGAAATTTCCAAAAAAAAAAAAAAAAAAAATATATAGAACAATAAGTTATGCAAAAAAAAACGTAATGGTTCCTTTTTTTAAAAAAATACATATCTTATCAAGGCCAAGGGCTTATCAAGGTCGGCGGCCAAGAAGACTTTTTTTTGACAACAATTTTACAATATAATTAAGGTGAGAACATATGAACCGCCTTTTTGACTGGCTTAAGTCATTGGCTGTCTTCATCGGAAAAGAACAAAGGAGGTTGGCAAAAATCGAATAAAGTCAACCCAAAACTCCTTTGTTCCTCTACGAAGAAGCTAGCCGATGAATTAAGCCAGTCAAAAAAGCGTTTTATGTATTCTCATCTTTAGTAGTTTTGAATTATTTTGACTTCACTTTCTTTGAATTTTAAATAACAAAATGTTTTTTGGCGGCGGTCTGTTCCAGAACTGCAAGAATGTAAAAGATTTTACAACTGTAACCGATTTCCCTTTATATATCGGCGAAAATTGCAACACTAGTAGATTCTTGAAAGTTCTGGAACAAACCCTTTGTTGTCAGATGGGCTTACTGGACGGTCGACCTTATGTAGGCCATGTATCCTAAAAGCATGGTATCAGAAAGTAAGCCCATCTGACATCTAAGTTATTTGTTAAAAGGCATAATTGTGATTTGAACTTAAAAGAGAGTAGTATTCTTAGCCGACCTTATATAGGTCTTGCTTACGAGCAAGATATTGACATTCATTTAAATAACTCAAATAAGTTTTCAAACAGAATGCATTTTATTTCCAAATCTTCAATGCCAGCAAAAAAAATATTAAACAAAACGTTAATAACCCGTAACCCAGGTTATATTTGAATACCTGTTTTGTTATTGTTTCAATGAAACAAATAAAAAAAAAACATTGATGTCATTCCTTGTTTGCAAAATAATAATACATATTAAAATCGTTAGTCTTGTTTCCACATTTGCATTCATCAGCCTAAAAGTATGCTTCATTTTTTGTTTTGTTATTTTTTTACTTTTAACCCTTTTAAATTTCTCTGGGCAAATTTGTTGTCCCTGTGATTGTTGGGGCAGTTCATAATCATATCATATCAGATTTGGAACCCAATTATTTCCATACTGGATGCTGGATCGGTGTTTAAACAGGATCTGGGACATCAAGTAGCATACGAAAAATGGAACGCCCTGGGGAAGAGCTGGGGACGCTCAGACCGCGAGTTGTACATGCCACAGTGGTCTTGCCTGTCCAGACTTATGCCTTTTGTGGTGGCATGCAATTGAGCCCAAGACAGGCTTTTGTTTAAACAAGCCACCGTGAAAAAAACACTACCTTACACAACCTTACTATTGTGCTCTCAAGAGCACTTTTTAATCTGCTTTCAATGGGATGCTCAATTTCCAGCTGTTGAAAATGGAACGTATTCTGGAACGCCGTAGGGAAGAAGTACGCTCAGACCGCGTGTCGTACATTGAGTGTATACCACAGAGGTCTTGTCCGTCAAGTCCTACGATTGTCTTGCGTGGTGGCATGTAATTGAGCCCAGTTCAGGCTTATGCCTAAACAAACCATCGTGCAAAAAACCACAAACTTACTATTGACAAGCTGAGCTCTCAAGAGCATTTTTTTAATCTGTTTTCAATGTGATACTTAACTTCCTGCCATTGGATCTTTTACCTTAGTCCAAGCAGAAAAAATTGCGCTGAGACTACTTTGAATACCCTCCACCATTTGGAACAAATTTGGAAATTTTCAAAAAAATAAACAAATAATAATCCGTTAAAATTCTTTTAAAATCTTAAAAATACCGAATACAGCCGTTGTATTGGGATCTATACGAAGACCTATAGACCTGCAACCTTCGTCATAAGCCATTGCAATATTCAAATACGAAACTTGACAAAAATCAGGTAAATAATGTAGCTAAAATCATCGAAATACCGAATATAGGGAGGTACCGTTATATCGGCGCTATACGAAGCCCTGGACCTAAATAGACCATTTTCTGTCACAGGCTGTAGTACCTATTAGGAACTTCAAATACGAGATTTCAAACAATTTCGTTAAATATTGTACCTAAAAACGTCAAAATACCGAATATAGGGGGGTACTGATATATGGTGCCTATACGAAGACGTGTTCCTGCATACGTATTTTTTTGTCATAGGCTGTAGTACCCATTACAATTTCTAAATATGAAATTTGAAACAACTCCGGTGATTAATGTCCATAAAATCGTCAAAATATCGAATAACAGGGCATACTTTGTATGTGGGCTATATGATATCGTGGGCCTATATAGACATTCCTCTGCCAGGGGGTAAAATTGTCTATATAGCTTTACGTTTTAGTATAGCACCCATATAACCCTACCCCGAGATATTTGGTATTTTCAGGATTTTCGCGACATTCACCGGAATTGCGTCAAATTTCGTATTTGAAGTTCGTAATGGATACTATAACCTATAGCGGAAAAGTTTCTATACTGGTCCACGTCTTAATATATCGCCCCATACAACTGTAGCTCCCCTTTATTTGAGGTTCGGAATCGTTACTACAGCCTATGACAAAAAAATGATTTATCCAGCTCCACGATTTCGTATGCCCCCCATATAAACATTTTCATTTGAGTGGTATTTTTGACGGAATTTTTTTTTGAGATATTTCAACTTCCTTCCGAATGGTGGAGGGCATAAAAAGATCGGCCCGGCCGAACTTAGCTTAATTTTTAATTGTTTTTCCTTTCATTGTCTTACCACTTAATCAATAATTACATTAACTTTAGCATTTCTTTCGTTTAATAACGCCTTGAAGTATGCTTTATATTTTGTTACTATTCAATTATTCAACATATCGTACAATATTTCGACATTTCGTGCCCATTTAAAATGATTAACCATTGATATTTTTTTTATTCATTTCATTCTGCTAATATTTTTGTTCTCCAATTACAGGTTGTCTGTGGCATAGCCTTGATGTTTTGGGTGGTGCAAAAAGCGCGCAAAGAATTGTCGGAAACTCTGCTCACCGATATTGGCAACGATGGCAAACTAATCGATATACAAGTGTAGCGCAAGCAAGACTGCTGCTATATTAGCATAACTATTAATATTATTAAAATTATTGTTATCTTTTAACAAAAAAAAACAGCAAAAATTAATTTAAAAAAAAAATATATATGTAAAAACATTTTTATGTAAATCTATAAATTATAACATATTTATAATAATGAAAACAAAACTAAAACATCACATGTATTTTTTTAATGAAAAACATTTGTTTTTGTTTATATTGTTTTCAAATTGTTTTTTTGTTTATTGGTTTTAATTAATTTTTCTTATTTAAATTATACAAGCATTTATATTTTAAAATATTATTTTGTTTTTTCGCTAAAAACAAAATAATTGAATAAAAATCAAATCTCATAATTATGTAAATAATTTAGAAACCATAAATTATGTTTTTTTAAATATAAAATTTATCTGTTTTGTACTATTAAATTTTTATAGTTTTTTTTTATATTGTATTAAGATAAATTGATTTTAATGTGAAACGTACACTGTTGCCAGAGGATATCGTGATTCTTTAAAAGTCAAAGGAAAGTTTCTCAAAAAAAATTAGAAAATGGATGAAATCTTTATTTGATTTGATATTTAATTAATTTAATGTTTGAAGATTATTCCATGCAAATGTTGACGGTGATTGCGCCACAAATGATCCACCCGTTTTGTCTAATTTTGGCATTCGCTTTCCAACATTTCGGCCGGTATCTCACAAAGAAAACGCTTCAATATTGTCTTCCAATGCGACTTCGTCTGTACGGGATGAGATAAAAAAAACTGCGCCATAATTTTTACATTTTTTTTTTAAATTTTATTGAATGAAAGCAAAAAATGTCGGAAATAGCATCAAATTTTTCAGTAAGCTTAGATTCATTCGAATGGCCTTCAAACTGCCAATGAAACCGTTAGACGCTGCCCGAATGTTGCTCTGTGGTAATTTCGTCCATTTCCGGCGAAGCGCTTGCTTGAGTTGATTAACACTTTGGTATATTTTAGTGCCAACCTTCCTTTTCAAAATACTTCAGACACAATAGTCCAACGGATTGGTATCCGGAGATTTTGGTGGCCATTGTGCTCTGGAAATGAAGCGAGGAACCTCATTTTGTAACCACTCTTGGGTGGCTCGTGCTGAGTGCGATGGTGCTGAGTCCTGTTGGAATGTCCAAGGTCTGCGGCCAAAATGTTTGCGTGCACAAAGCTTTCATACACCCTCCAGAATATTTTCGCGATAATATTCGGGATTTATTCTGATGCCACGGTCGATTAATACTAGCGGAGAGCGATCATCGTCTGTTATGGCGGCCCACATCATCACCATGGCTGGCGCTTGAGGTCTGGTGGCCAACCGAAGGTTCACATTTTCAGCTGACCTCTTTGGCAAGTAAACACGATCATTTCTCATCGGACAAAACCAAATTCGGTAGTTCACCACTTTCGGCCAAGCGAAGCAATTTCTGATGTTGCTGTTTTCTTCCGTCCATTTCCTTGAAGTCGGACTACGCTACCAGCGATGGTACGAGTAACGAGCGATGGCACGTCACAATAGTCACAATAGATTTATTCACATTTTTTCATCTCACCCTGTAGTCGGTATTTTGATGATTTTATCGATATTTTTGACCGGAATTATTTCAAATTTCGCATTTAAAGTTCGTAATAGGTACTACAGCCTATGACAAAAAATCGCGCACACAGGTCAACGTCTTCGTATAGCCCCAATTTAAAGATACCTCCCGATATTCGGTATTTAAATGATTTTAGCGGTATTATTCAACAGAATCGTTTCAAATTTCGTAATTGAAGTTCGTAGAGGGTACTACAGCCTCTGACATACTGCAGCCGGTATTTTGATGATTTGAGCGAAATAATTAACCGGAATTGTTTCAAATTTCGTATTTAAAGTTCGTAATGGGTACCACAAAGTATGACAAAAAAGTGTGTGTGCAGGTTCTTGTCTTCGTATAGCCCCCATGTAACGATACCTTCCTTTTTTCGGAACATTTAAGCGACATTATTCACTGGAATTGTTTCAAATGTGGTATTTGAAGTTCGTTATGGATACTACAGCCTAAGAAAGAAAACTGTCTGTGCAGGTCCACGTCTTCGTATGGCCCATATAACGATACCTCCCAATATTCGGAATTTTAATGATTTTAACGACATATTTTACCAGAATTGTTTAATATTTTATATTTTAAGTTCGTAATGTATACTGCAGCCGAAGACAAAAAATTGTCTGTGCAGATCCACGCCTTCGTATAGCCCCCACATAATGGAACCTGTCAACATTTGGTATTTTGATATATTAGCGATATTTTTTACCAGAATTATTTCAAATTTCGTAATTGAACTTCGTAAAGGATACTGCAGCCTATGACAAAAAATTACTTATGAAGGAACAGGTCTTCGTATAGGCCTCTTGTAAGGTGGTATTTATCTACGAATTTTTTTTTTTTTTAATTTTCGAAATGGTGGAGGGTATTAAAGCTGCTTTTTTAGCATTTCTCTATATTTCTTATAGAAATTGAAGCGGTTTAGTAAACTTTCCGATTTCAGTGACCACTTCTCCATACAACTTTTGTACCGTAATCGAAAGGGATTCGGAATCAGAATCGGAAATTTTAATATAGATTCCGACCGAATTCGGAATAAAATCTTAGCTGGCAAGACATGCCCAATTTGTGTGTGCAATTGTGTGCAATAGTGCCTCTGACGAAACATCTTTATTTATAAATTAATTATTATTTTAATTATTAATTTTTCCTGTATTAAAAATTCAAAAAAGCATTTTAGTATTCTTCTCTTTTTTTATTTGCTCGCCTTTCTTAAAACTGCACATTTTTCGAAACCACTTAAATCTTATCCTGAGAAAACTGTACACCAATCCCTAGCTGGAAATGCCAAACCACTGTTTTTTTATAAACCAAACACAAGCTGTGCCTCTTTTTCTGTATAAAAAAAAAACTGTAACTCTAAAAAAAAAAAACAAAAACTACAAAACAAAAAACAACACTAATCCTAAAGCCAAAAAAAAACAACTGAAATTAATAAAAACAAAAAAAAAACTTTATAATAGAGTAAAAATTTGTCATTTATTTATAAAAACAAAAAATATTAAGCTTATTTTTTAAATATACAAAACAACACACAGCAGACACAAAAAGCATAATAAAAAACGAAATAAAAAATAAATACAATGTGTCACAAACAAAAAAACAAGGTATGTGATTTGTTGTTATTGGAAAAAATTGTCATAAAATTAGTGTGTGTGATAAAGAAGATATATTGCTATAAAAATAAATTTAAAAAAAATACGAATATATAACTCAAACTGTGTTTTTTTGTTTATTTCCTCTCATATTGTCTCCAATTTCGTGGCTCTTTCAGATAATGATTCGATAAAATAGTTTCGAAAACACCAACGGCAAAATCAACATCGTTTTTCGTGATGCACATGGGCGGTTTTAGACACATAATCTATTGAAGAAGAAAAAAACAAAAACAGTGAAAAAGTTGAGATGAGTTCCACAGCAAATGTAATGAGGGATTCAGCAAAATTGAAAATTATCGAAATCATCATGAGGTTTTCTAACCAATTTTTTTTTTTTGAGTTACCGACAAAAATCGTTATAATTACGATGCTTAAAATTTTGATAACGCTGTGTAACACCAAAAATAATTACGGGGAAATCAAGTGGATTATGAAAATAGAAGACACTTGTAGAAAAGGTTTCTAAAGTTTATATCGCAAAGTATCGTAAAAAATAAGGGGAAAATTCACACACACCTCTTCCATACGTTCGAGGATATTCAAAATGTTGACCCCTTATGGAGCAGGTACCAATAGGAGTGGACAAATATATCTTCATCACAACAGATTCTGTGTTAATAAGAAGAGAACCAGATACTTATTTCTGATTTTATAATCGTTTTGGTTATTTAAAACCTTGACCTTTTGTGGGGGAGGTACCAGAAGGAATGGACCGATATCTACCATCTTCATAACAGATCTTGTGTTGATAGAGATATTGAGGTGTGCCAAGCCTGAATGGAATTAGATGTTAATTTCCGTTTTATGAGCTTCATGGATATTCAAAATTTTGACCATTTGTGGAGGAGGTACCAGAAGGAGTGGACCGATATATCCCATATGCACAACAGATCTTGTGTTAGTAAAACTAATGGAATGTGTAAAATAGAAAGAGAACCGGATACTTTTTCGGATTTTATAATCGTTTTGGTTATTCAAAACCTTGACCTTTTTTGGGGGAGGTACCAGAAGCAATGGTCCGATCTCTACTATCATTATAACATATCTTGTGTTGATAGAAATATTGCGATTTACCAAGTCTGAATGGAGTCGTATGTTAATTTTGCGTGTTATGAGCTTCATATTTATTCAAAATTATAACCCTTTGTGGGGGAGATACCAGAAGGAGTGGACCGATATTTGAATTTGAAGACAAACAGACACTTACATCGCATTTTAGAAAAGTTATAATTATTCAAAATTTTGACCCTTTGTGGGGAAGGTACTTGATGGCTTGCACTGATATTGTCCATTTTCTCACCTGACTTAGCACTAACGCAAATATCAGGCTTTGCAAAGTTGGATCAAAATCGTATTGTTCTTTCTCTTTCTGTGCAGTAAAATATTTTTTTGAATTTCGACCTTTTGTGGGCGCGTCACCAGAAGGAATGGACCAATATTGTCCATCACCGAACTCAATGTAAGTTTGATAATAATATTACAATGAACCAAGTTTGGATTAAATTAGATATTTCCTTCGAGAGTTCTCATGTGCACCAGCCAGCAGAAAGACAGACCGACGGACGTCGCTATACCTACTTCAAATGTCCTGAAAGGGATTTGGTCCAATGAGACCTAGGATCTAAAACCGTTTTTTCGATGAGCCACTTTTTGGCCCTATCAAATGATATATACCTTCTCTTTGGCTGAGGGTATAAAAAAGCATCCAACAAACATTGCTGAAATTGACCGTTTCGGTTTGTATTTTTAAACTTCTATGTTGGATTGTATTTTCAAAATTCTACATGACACATATATTGAGAACCTTACAAGTAAAAAAACTGTAAGTTCGACCGGACCGAACATTGAATACCATCCACCATTAGAACGAATTTGGTGATTTTCAAAAAAATAAAATCCGTTAAAAGTTTTGGTAAATTTTATTATTTTATTTTACGACGATATGGAACTGTATAAGCAACTTTTGTCATAAGCCATTACAATACCGGGAAACTATTTTTTTCTTGGGGACGGGCCCGGGACCTCAGATTTTTGACCCAAAATTCCGGGGTAATACACCGACTAGACCCGGATTCAATTACCCGATATAGACAATGTAGGTATATCTAACAAGTGGTCACATGAAGGGTAAGTGGTCACGGTTCCGAAGTTATAGTCAAATTATCGATTTTTTGGACCCGGATTTTTTATAAAACTCCCAACCGTGCCCACTCACCACTTGTTGAATATACCTAAATTGTCTATATCGGGTAATTGGATCCGGGTCTAGTCGGGGTATTGACCCCGGACTTTTGGGGCAAAAATCTGGGGTCCCGGGTCCGTTCCCCAAGAAAAAAAATAGTTTCCCGGGATCAGGGTCAAAATACCTACCACTGGAAAACATTTCGAAAAAAATGAAGTTTTTACTAAACTAGTGTTAAGCCGGTCTAAAATATATATTTCGAGGTGTTACAAACGGAATGACAAACTTAATATACCCTCCATAGGGTGTAGGGTATAAAAACGAAAATTAGTTGACTTAAGTTGCCTAATTTTTATACAAAAAAAAAAAAATAACTTCAAATTTGCAACCAATTTATGCAAAATAGGTTACACAAGGTACGAAAAAGACTTATTCGCGTTGCCATCTTCACGAATTATTTTTCTTCAGTTATTTATGATTGAAGAAATTGTATCTCTAGGAAAATGCTTTCCGTGCAAATATAATTCCGCCTAGGATATTCATGATTGGAAGTGAGATTTTTTTCCGGAGAAATATACAATTCTCTCTCAGAAATATTTTCCAAGTTTAATTTTTGTTAATGATAGCTTAGAGGGAAAAGAGAAAAATTCCACACGGAAATGTTATTTAAGTTTGAACTTAAGGTTTTATTTTGACGGTGAAGAAGTAGTTCCATGCCAATTCTTTAATTTGGAATCCTAGGCTTGTGAGATGCAATCTTTTCCCCAACTCTCTCCATTTTTTTAAACATTTGAATTTAGAATATTAATTTAATTAATAAACGATAGATTTGATTTATTATAAAAGTTAGTAATAATAATATTTATTCCAATAGTTAAGACCTAAATACGTATGTATATATATAAAATTTTTCTATTAGAAATATAAGTCTCAGTACAAGTCTTAGAAAATCGGAAGACATTTTCAAGTCATTTTCTAAATTTAAATTTAAAAAAAAAAACAAATGATAAAAATTAATTTTTCGCTAAGAAATCTGAAATTGCACGATTAAGGACATCCACGGCAAAATTTACATCCGATTTATTGATACACATGGGAGGTTTAATGCGGAAAATCTGTAAAGATATTGAAAAAGAGAGAGACAGAGATAGAAAAAAAACATAGTTTGGAGAAAATAAGAAGCCGTAACAATACGAATTTCATAAAAAGACAGAGCAAAGCGAAGCCACACAGAAAAAAAGGACAACAGACAAAGCCCAAAACCAAAAGCAATAACAAAAACGTAAAAAGCCAGACCATAGACACCATATAAGGCTTTGGAGAGAAAAGTTCTAAAAAATACCACTTACATTTCCGTTGAGACCTCCACGACCAAAGAGAACACCCATATCTTTGCATTGTTCCCATATCTCCAGGACATGTGGTACTCCTAGCGGTGCCTTGGTTTTACGATCGCTAACCAATTCCAGACCAATCATGAGCCCCTTGCCACGAACATCACCCACAATTTCGTAGCTATCCCTCAGTTCGGCCAATTTGTTGAGGAAATAGGTACCCACTTCCAGGGAGTTCTTTTGCAGCTGTTCCTCTTCAATGACATCGAGCACGGCAATACCCACAGCACTGGCCATGGGATTACCGCCATAGGTGTTGAAATGCAAGGCCATGCCCAGGGACTTGGCTATTTCGGGAGTGGTTACCACGGCAGCCATGGGGAATCCATTGCCAATTCCTGGGGAAATAAAATTGAAAATTTACTTTCTTTCGATTTTAGGTGGCAAGTTTCCCTTTCTCCTTACCCTTGGCCATGGTCACAATATCTGGCACAATTCCATGACCCTCAAAACCCCAGAAATGATCACCGGTACGACCAAAACCGGTTTGCACCTCATCCGCCACAAAAACTCCACCATTGGCCCGAACCAATTCAGCTGCCTTTTTAATATAACCCTTGGGGAATTGTACAGTGCCACCCACACCCTGAATCGATTCGGCAAACATGGCAGCCACTTTTCCCCGTGGCAGAGAATATTTAAATGTCTGCTCCAATTCATTGTAATACATATCCGTTGCCTTACATCCCGTCTCCACGGAACAATCACATTTCCGATCTGTTTGTATGGGAGAGTCACGACAATTGGCCCCACCCCATATGCCGGTATAAGGATCAGGATTCATGACATGATGTATGCCATTGGATACCCCGGCCAGGGGGAAACGCCATGTTGAATGGGCTGTCAATCCCATGGTATACGGTGACATACCATGATAACAATTGCGCAGGGTTAGAATATCCTGATTGCCGGTATGTAGACGGGCCATGAGCATGGCCAAGTCATTCGCCTCCGAGCCGGAATTGACAAAACAAACTGCCTTCAAATTTCCAGGGAATTTGGCTGTCAATTTTTGGGCATATTCATGGATTTTGGGATGCATATAAATGTTGGTGGTGTGCCACAGGGTCTTGATTTGCTGCTCCAGGGCTTTGTTGACTTTTCTGAAAAAAAAAACAAAAAATTAAAATCAAATTTTTTCAAAATCCATTCCATTCCCCCCATTACTTACGGATGACAATGACCCACGGACACGGTCACAATACCTCCAAACATATCCAAATAACGATTGCCATCATGATCGTACAACCATTGCATATGACCACTGCTGATCAGCAAAGGCTTCTTGTAGTAGGATTGTATATTGGGTGTCAAATGATTCCTCCTCAGTTCCGTGATGTTTTCATAACTGGGTCCCTTATATGTGGGCGGCTTATGATCACAATCAGGCATTTCATTTTGCAGCACTGTCACTGTGGCCGGTGCGGCTTTGGAGTTTAAAGTTGACGTGCGGCGAGATGGCTGGCGTCCTGGACGTATCAAGCGGCTGGAATGGGCTAAAATGGAAAAAATTTAGTACTTTATTAATATTTAAAAAAATAACATAACTTCTTTATATATTTTCCCTCTGTCCCACTTATGAAGGTAAGATGTACATCCTCGTCTCCACACATTCTACCATTCAGAATGAGGAGATTGTTGTTTGTACACAATTATATTGACAGGTTCCATTTTTATACCCTCAGCCAAATGGCTAGAAAGGGTATATATCATTTGATACGGCCAAAACGTGCCTCATCGAAATAACGGTTTTAGAACCTAGGTCTCTTTGGACCACATCCGTTTCAGGACATTTGGAGTCGGTCTGGCGATGTTCGTTCATTCGTCTGTCTGGCTGGCGAAGAGAGTGTCCGATTTGATCCAAATTTGGTAAATCGTAATATTATTATGAAAAATAGATCGAGTTTGGAGATGGGAAATATCGGTCCACCCCTTCTGGTAACTCCCCCACAAAAGGTTGAAATTTAAAAAAAAATATTTCACTGCACAGAAAGAGAAAGGATCATCCGATTTTGCTCCAACTTTGTAAATCCTAATATTTGCATCAGTGCTATGTAAGGTGCGAAAATGGACAATATCCGTAAACTCCATCAAGTACCTCCCCCACAAAGGTCAAAATTTTGAATAATTATAACTCTTACAAAATGTGATCTAAGAGTCCGATTGTCTTCAAATTAGACACATCACAATATTTTTATAAACCCAAGATCTGGTGCGAAGATGAGATATATCAACCCACTCCTGCTGGGATCTGCCCCACGGAGGGTCAAAATTTTGAATAACCAAAACGATTAAAAAACGCGAAACAAATATTCGATTCCATTCAGAATTGGCACATCTCAATATTTCCATCAACACAAGATCTGTTATAAAGATGGTAGAGATCGGACCATTCCTTCTGGTACCTCCCCCACAAAGGGTCGAAGTTTTGAATAACAAAAACGTTTATAAAATCCGAAATAAGCATCAGGTTCTCTTTATATTTCACACATCCCTATATTTCTTCTAACACAAGATTTCCTGTGAAGATGGAATATATCGGTTCACTCCTTCTGGTGCCTCCCCCACAGAGGGTCAAAATTTTGAATATTAATGAAGCTCATATAACGCAAAATTAACATCCGATTCCATTCAGACTTGGTACATCTCAATATTTCCATCAACACATGATCTGTTATAAAGATGGTAGATATCGGACCATGCCTTCTGGTACCTCTCCCACATAGGTTTCAGGATTTTGAAAAACAAAGCCTCAAAGAGATCGCAATAAGTATCCAACTCTCTTCAAATTCCACACATTCAAACATTTTTGCTAACACAAAATCTGTTACAAAGATGATATATATCGGCGAACCCCTTCTGGTACCTTACCCACAAAGGGTCAAAATATAGAATAACCAATAACGATTATAAAATCAGAAATAAACATCCGGTTCTCTTCATATTCCACATATCCCATTATTTCTACTAACACAAGATCTGCTTTGAATATGGAATTTATCGGTCCCATTAAAATTCCAAAAAGTGCAAGAACTTACACCGCAACAGAAAGAAAATAGACTCAAAAGAGCTAAAGATTTGCTTCGCTTGGCCGAAAGTGGTGAACTGCCGAATTTGGTTTTCTCCAATGAGAAAACATTTGTTGTCCAGCAGTTTGATTTGAACAAAATGATTGTGTTTACTTTTCAAAGAGGTCAGCTGAAAATGTGCACCTTCGGTTGGCCACCAGAACTCAAGCGCCAGCCATGGTGATGGTGTGGGCAACCATAACGGCCGATGGTCGCTCTCCGTTAATCGACCGTGGCATCAGAATAAATGCAGAATATTATCGCGAAAATATTCTGGATAGTGTATTAAAGCCTTGGACACGCAAACACGCAGACCTCGTTTCATTTCCAGCGCACAATGGCCACCAAAATCTCCGGATACCAATCCGTTGGACTATTGTGTCTGGAGTATTTTGGAAAGCAAGGTAGGCACTAAAAAATACCAAAGTGTCGATCACCTCAAGCAAGCGCTTCGCGGGAATGAGCCAACATACCGCAGAGCAACATTCGGGCAGCGTGTGACGGTTCCATTGGCCGTTTAAAGTCCATAATTCGTGCCAAAACTGACCAATTCGAACAAATCTTAACTTATTCTAAAATTTGATGCTATTTCCGACAATTTTTGCTTTCATTCAATAAAATTTAAAAAAAAAATGTAAAAATTATGGCGTTTGACTTTGTTGCAGTTGTTTTATCTCACCCTGTATATGTTTCATACGATTTGCTGTTAAAGTCCCTCACATGCGTAATATGCATTCGACAATAATGATATTTGGTAGCTGATATCTTATAGAGCTCGGAAGTTCCTCTGCTAAATTTTATCAAGATCGGTTCAGATTTGGATATAGGTTCCATATATATCTTCAATCGATTCTGGTTAATTGTGCACGAAATGACCAATATCTGTCAAAAAGTCCTGAATTTTGGTACTTCCGTCGGAATTCAGCAAAGAAGCAAGTACTTAAAATTTTGGTTCAGATATAGCTAGAGCCCCCATATATATATTTCATCCGATTTGGTGTTAAAGTCCCACATATGCGTAATGTGCACTCCACAACGAAAATAATATAAATAATGATAAAAATAATGAATAATCATAACAGGGGTAAACATATTTTGAAATAATCGAACCTTGGCTGAGGGTATACATCTGTCGGTTTACATCTGATACGTTTTAACTTGTTTTGTATTTAATTTTCCTTATTTAAAAAAAAAATGTTATTTTTTTCTATGTCGTTATTTTAAATTATTTTTTAAGTCACGTTGTTAATGTTTTTTTTATCCACGTTTAATGTTTTTTTTTAATATTTAGAAAAATCAATGTTTTTAATTCTTTTCGACAAGTAGTTTTCTCCAAAATTGAAAATTTTCAAATTAATTTTTTTTAATCTAGGTTATCTTTACTACTTTTTTTACCTAAGCTTGGAAATATTCCATGTTCCATATTTCATATTTTCATGTTTTCAATTCTTTTCTAAAAGTAGTTTTCTTCAAAATTGAAAATTTTCAAATTTATTTTTTTAACGTTTTACATTTTTTTCACCTATGCTTGGAAATATTTTGAAAAAAAAAATCCATGTTTTCAATTCCGAAAAGTACTTTTCTTCAAAATTAAAAAATCTGATGTTTTATTAATTTGTTTTCCTGCAGGTGCCTTATGTATGGCCTCCCTGACAGTGCTGCCTATTAATTTACATATTCATTGTTTATAAACAACATTGATGCCATTCACATTGTCCGCCACTAAATGACGCCGTAAACAAATATATTTGCATTAATTTTGCTTCACGAATACATGGGACATGGAAAGGGCAAGAGAATTCCCTCAAAATAATCTGCATTATTGAACAATTTAACGAATTTAAAAAAAATAGGCAAAATGTTTCCTTGTTTTATCTTATCTAATTGGAGGGCTTTTCAGTTGGGTGGCAATTGCACAGGCATGCCTCTACCTGGCTTATTTTAACACCGGCCCCCTTATCCAGTAATTTTCTAAGGTTTGTCGAGTGGATGGGTAGGTTCTCTGATTTTTTTTTTAAATATGCCTCACAAATATCCATTAACTTTTGAATATATTTATTCTGTAATCTAAAAATAATATATTTAAATTGAAATTGTACATATTTATACGTAGATACCTCAGATTATTCTAATCTAGTTTTCTTATCAGTTTAGCAAATTTTATTTTATTAGCACAAACTGTCCAATTAATGCCCTAATAAATGATAGAGATTTGGGACCCGGTATAATACGCAAAGTCAACACACACGCCATGCCCGTTGTTGTCTTTGCTGTTGGTCTACCATTGGGGGTATTTGTTGTTATATTTTATTATCATAATTAACGTTATAATAAAAAAAATGAAACGAAATGTTATCAACAAGTGGTTGGGAAGATAGACAAGAATATATACGTTCTGGCCTATTTTTTGTGATTTTATATAGGTAGGGCCTTAACTAAAGTTTAGAATATTTTTTCGAGCGGAATAATTTTGTTATATTGTCAGAGAGAATGAAATATCTTAAAACGTTGTTTTTAATATTCATATTCAACCAAGGGCTGGATTCTTATTCTATGAAAATATGAAATGAAAAATATTTCCATTATAAAATTTTCCATTTGACATTTCTTTCCTTTATAAAAGTTTTCATTTCACATTTTCATAGAACAAGAATTGAGGGCCAAATCATAGATATCCGCTCGGAATTCTATTCCCACGGAAAGCATTTTCCTGGACAGACAATTCCTTCAATCATAAACAATTGAGGAATAATAATTAGTAAAGATGGCAACGCGAATGTGTTCTTTTCGTACCTTGTGTAACCTATGTTTGAAATACTTTTGTTAGGTATAAAAATTAGGCAGTTTAAGTCAACTAAATGTCATTTTTAAGATTAGAATATATCTGATGGATGTTGATAAGACTATGGAGCAACGGCTTAACTCTAGTTTTGTAAAGACTGTTCGATTTTTCTTCGAAATTTTTTCCAGAATCAGACATTTTCTCGGAATCAGGATAAAAATAAGTACCTCTGGAAAAAATTTCGAAAAAATCGAATTGCATTACTAAACTAGAGTTGTTCCGGAGCAACATAGAATTTTGAAAATACAATATTGAACGGCCAATTTCACCACTTTGGACCATAACCGTTTCGGGACATTTGGAATCCATCTAGCGATGTGCGTCCGTCCGTCTGTAACTCTCGAAGGGAGTATCCGATTTGATCCAAACTTGGTACATCGTAATATTATTATCAAACTTAGATCGTGTTTGGAGATGGGCGATATCGGTCCACTCCTTCTGGTACCTACCACACAGAATGTCAAATTTCAAAAGAAAATAATAATTAAAGCACAGAAAGAGAAAGGACAATCCGATTTTGCTCGAAATTTGCGAAACCTATTATTTGGATCAGTGCTAGGTCAGGTGTGAAAATGAACAATATCGGTCCACTCCATCAAGTAACTCCGCCACAAAGGGTCAACATTTTGAATAATTATAACTCTATTAAAATGTCATGTATGTGTCCGATTGTCATCAGATAACACACATCCCATTATTTCTACAAACACAAGATCTGCTGTGAGAATGGGTTGTATCGGCCCACTCCTTCTGGTACCTCCCCCACAAAGGGTCAACATTTTGAATATCCACGAAGCTCATAAAACGTGAAATTAATATCTGATTCCATTCAGACTTGTTACATCGCACTATTTCCATCAACACAAAATCTGTTATAAATATGGTAGAGATCGGACCATACCTTCTGGTACCTCCCCTACATAGGGTTCAAGATTTTGGAAAACAAAACGCTCAAACGCTCAACTCTCTTCAAAGTTCACACATACAAACGTTTTTGCTAACACAAGAGCTGTTGTGAAGATGATATATATCTGCAAACTCCTTCTGGTACTGCACCCACATGGGGCCACAATTTTTAATACTTTTTTCTGTCATAACTTGCGAAACAAGTCAGCGATTCCTTACAACTTCCTATATCTAAATATTTCCCTCTACCAGAAACCTGACATGAATATGGAATTTATAATTTCGCATAAAATTGGATATAAATGTTCGATTTTCTTGTAATTTTATCCATGTCAATATTTTTATCTGTATTAAATGAAGCATGACAATGGAATACTTCGGTGGTACCTCACACACATTTTAACATTCTCTAAAAATTATCATATATCTCATATAAAGTGAAGGAACTAGTCGATATAGTCCAAACATGGTACTTCACAATATTTGTATCATATTTATTTAGGTCCGATACGTAATGGACAATATTGGTCCATTTCTTCGTAACCTACGCCATAGAGGGTCAACAATTTCAATAATCATAACAGAAGTCAAAATATATTTAAATAATCGAGCATTGGCTAAGGGTATGCATCTGCCTGCAAAAGCGACTGCTACTATTTAACCTGTTCTTAAACCAGTCCTAATATTAATAATGTGAATTTTTTCCAAAAGAATTTTTTTTTTGTCCAAAAATGTTTTCAACTTTTTTTCCAAAAATCTTTTGAGAACATTTTTTTTAGCTTGTTACACTCTCAAATATTTAATTCCCCATCCCTGCTATCATAGCAATGCTCTTCACATTCAAATACCTTAAAAAAGTGTGCGAATTTTGTGTAACAAAGGTTTAATAAATTATTCAGTTAATTGGGCGATTGTATCTATCTTTTTGAAGCATATGCGAAATGTAAAATTGCTAAATTTTTTGATATAAATTAACTTCTAGGAACTAGAAATATTAAAGGGAATAAAATAAAAAATGTGGATGTAATAGAAAATTATTATTTTCTATTTATCCAGAATTCTCGCGCATGTAGTAGAATATTAATTAAAATTATTCTTTTGCAGTGAGGCCTGAACAAGGCGCCAATTCGAAATAAAATCTCAAAATCCAATAGATACTTGTATGCACAAATATGTGTGGATCCACATAAATTCTGAAATATCCACAGGATCTAAAACAAGTGATGAAACTTGCAAGTTGCAACTCGATTTCGCTCTACCCCAATGTGTATTTGCATAGACCCACATAAACACAATCGTGGAGTAAGAGAATAGCAAAAGAAGAAAAAGTCAACATCAATAAATTTCCATTTCACTTGAAAAAAAATAATAAAAACCTACCTAGAATATTACGCGACATCATATTGCACTGACAATTTAGCTACTCTTAAATATTCTATTATTTATATTAATATTTTTTATTTAACAAAAAAAACTTTTTTTAAATTGTCACTTTGTTGATATTTTGTTATGTTAAACGATCCGTTCAAGTTATCAAAAGACCTGCTGTTGATCTACAAAAAAACACAATCACACGACCGCTACTTTCCACACCAGCAAATAAACTGAAACATTTGTCCCGGAATAACCAGCCAGCTAGCAAACGGCCGGTGTCGTTCCCATAATCAAACGGTTATTGAGAAGTCAATTGCACACTAACAACTATTTTCTGGCACTCTTTCTCTTGTGTGTCTGTTTTTTTTTTTTTATTCTCACTCTCCTGGTATAATGCTGTCAATTTTTGTCTGTCCATAACATGTTTGCCTGTGCATTAACATAGACTTTGGGTTGCTTTTCTCTCGTCTCAACTTGAAGTGTTAACTAGCAATGGACTTTATTAAACGGTTGTTATTTTTTTCCTGCATTCAAATAGTCCAGAATAAACCCGTTTTGCAGTGATCACCTTAACTAGAGTAGCCAAAAAGTTTTGGGGAGGCCAAATCTGCTGGCAGTATATAAATCGTGGAATTTTTAAAGGAATAGCAAGGACTAGTAGAGGCATAATCATCCAATTTTATTGCTGTTTTTTAAATCCATTTATTTTTTTAATATCAAGTGTATAGTGTTTTAATATCACGTATATCCCCACCCTGTATTCCAACACTCCATATAGACATTGCTGTCTCTCATTAAGCCTATATTAAATTTGGCTAGACCTAGTCGGAGGACACAATAGAATTTGAACTTGTGAACTTGCTACATTCCAAATCCATTACGTGGGAAGGATACAAAGGGCTAAAAATATTGCAACAATCCGCCGGCATACATTTGCTTCCAGGAATCATCCACAAACTTCTTTCTGAGGGAGTAAGGTAGCTTCATTCTCTTTTGCATGAAAACTGTGGTATATTCTGGGACTTATAATAGAATTTTAAAACAAAGAATTTTGCAGATTATTTTGACCTGCTACGATCCCGTTTAAAGGGAGTTTTCAACGATATTTTTTTAACAAATTAAAGAGTAACCGTCGGTTTGCCGACAGATGTATAAACAATATTCGATTATTATACCCTTAGGCATATGGCTAGTTATCCCTCAGCCATATGGCTAGAGAGGGTATGTATCATTTGATACGGCCATAAAGTGCCTCATCGAAATAACGGTTTTAGATCCTAGGTCTCTTTGAAAAAAAAATCCGTTTCAGGACATTTGGAGTCGATCTAGCTATGTCCGTCCGTCTGTCTGACTGGTGCGAACGATAACTCTCGAAGGGAGTATCCGATTTGGTCCAAACTTGGTACATCGTAATATTATTATCGAACTTAGATTGAGTTCAGAGATGGGCAATATCGGTCCACTCCTTCTGGTACCTGCCCCACAAAGGTCAAAATTGTCAAAAAAATAGATAACTGCATAGAAGGTGGTAGGATATTCCGATTTTGCTCCAACTTTGCAAATCCTAATATTTGCATCAGTGCTACGTGAGGTGCAAAAATGGACAATATCCGTAAACTCCATCCATCCACTCCTTCTGGTACCTCCCCCACAAAGGGTCAAAATTTTGAATATCCATGAAGCTCATAAAACGCGAAGTTAATATCCGATTCCATTCAGACTTGGTACATCTCAATATTTCCGTCAACACCAAATCTGTTAAAAAGATGGTAGAGATCGAACCATTCCTTCTGATACCTTCCCCACAAAGGGTCAAAGTTTTGAATAACCACAACGATTATAAAATCCGGAATAAGCATCTGGTTCTCTTCACATTTCACACATCCCATTACTTCTACTAACACAAGATCTGCTGTGAAGACGGGATATATCGGTCTATTCCCTCTGGTACCTCACCCACAAAGGGTCAAAATTTTGGACATCCAAATAAGCATCCAACTCTTTTCAAATTTCACACATACAAACATTTTTGCTAACATAACTGGAGCTCTCAAGAACATTCCCCAATCTGTATTAAATGTAATGCGAATTGTCCAGTAACTGGATCTTTTGGTCAGAGTTTCAAGCGGCCAAAATTGCGCTTAGATTTGAATTTTTGGCATTTCGGACATGCACGAATCCTGAACATAATTTTTTTCTAAATCGACGAAAATAACTGATATTCTTTCCAAATTTCCCATAAAAATTAAACAGTACATCCTTTGGACTTCCAATGATCGTTTGAAAAAAATATTTCTTAAAATTCAAAAAAAAATATTTCATTTCCAAAATTTGAATATAAATGCAATGTATAAAAGTAAAGTGGGTCGAAATCCCGGCGGTACTGCAATACCGGGCCAACCCGCGACAGAAGTGGAGCAAGCCCCTAGACTTCCGTCAATTTCCAAAAATCAGTTTAACATTTGTTGTCCTCCGATGGAGGATCTATCAGATGTTAAGCTGATAAGAACAGATACTACACTTTGATCTTAGCCATAAGGCCGAGAAGCGATAACCAAACACCGAACAAGGATAACACTATAAGTGAGCATTTTTTCGGAGTGATTGAGAATTATTTGTGGAGCACATGAAGCAGCAAATGACTAAAAATAAGAAATATCACAAAAATGATTTTCACTTTTATAAGGGATGATCTTTGAAAATATTAAATTGTCTTTCTATCTGAAATGAAGAGAGAGAGAGAGAGAGAAAAAGAGAGAGCCACAATAAATGTTTTCATCCTTTACATTGTTGGCAGTGTGACCGCTGGAAATTTTCAAAAAGTATCACAAAAAGTATCATTTCTTAAAAAAAGTGGCACATATCACTTTAAATGGTGGCACAGAAAGTGACACAATTTGTTTCACATTTTATTTAAAACAAGTAAAAAAGTTGTAAGTTCGGCCGGGCCGAACTTTGAATACCCTCCACCATGTGGTAAAAATTTGGCAATTTTCACAAAAAAAAAAAAAAAAAAATTAAATCGGGTAAAAATTCTGTCAAAATCTTAAAAATACTGAATGTAGCCGTATATTAGGGTCTATACGATGACGTGGACCTGCATAGGCAAATTTTGTCATAAACTATTATAATATTTAAATGCGAAAAAAATCTGTTTATAATGTAGCTAAAATAAATAAAATAGCGAATATAGGGAGGTGCATTGGGGTTATAAAACGTGGACCTGCACAGACAATTTTCCGGCATAGGCTGTAGTATCCATTACGAAGTTCAAATACAGAATTCGAAATAATTCCCGTAAATAATGTCGCAAAAATCATCAAAATACCGAATATCGGGGTACCGATATATAGGGGCTATAAGAAGAAGTAAACCTACACAGACAATCTCCTGTCATATGCTTTAGTATCTATCGAACTTCAAATACCAAGTTTGAAATAATTCCGATAAAAAATGTTGCTAAAATCATCCAAATGCCGAATATCGGGGGCACCTTTATATGGGGGCTATACGAAGATGAAGACCAGCACTTACTTCAACTTACTTCATTTCGTTCGGAAGCTAGAGTGATTTCCACAGACGGACAGACATTGATAAATCGACGAAGAATTTTATGCAGAGCAAGAATATATATACTTTGTGGGGTGTAAAATGTATATTTCGAGGTGTTACAAACGGAATGACAAACTTAATATACCCTTCCTACTATGGTGGAGGGTATAAAAAAGGTGGCACAATGTATAAAAAAGTGGCACAAAAATTCAAAAAAGTGGCTCATTTAGGATCAAAATAAAAAAGTGGCACAAAGGTATCAAAGCCCAAAAAAAGTGGCAAAATTGATACTTTAGTGGCACAACGGTCACGCTGATTGTTGGGTAAAACAGGGTTTGGGTGGCTGGATTTATTTTCTCAAAGCAGGGAAGGTATTTGGCTGTTTGAAAATACACGTTTGTAGTTATTTATGAATTCTCTGAAAATTACTTACAAAATCCGCGATAATGGTCTTTTATGGTTACTTTTAAAAATTAAAAAAAAATAATTTTATAGTCATTTTATATCCTTGTAAAAGTGTTTCTGCTCTTTTTGGAGCCTCAAGCAAGTTCATAAACACGCATGCTTTGTGTCCAGGCTGATCATCCTAAAATTGTTAATAAATTCACTTGTTTTGTTCTTTTAGGAATTCGCTGTATATCTTTCTACAATTGTATAAAAATCAACGCTTAGTATTCTTTATAGCTTCTTCTAAAATTATATATAGAAATCCACGCTTAGTATTCTTTTTAGCTTCTCCTAAAATTGTATAAAAATTGACGCTCAGTATTCTTTATAAATCTTTCTAAAATTCTCAAAAAAAATCCAAGTTTGTGTCCTTTATGGATCCTCCTACAATTGCTTAGAAATCCACGTTAGTTATCCTTCTAAAATTTTTTAAAAATCCACGTTTATCGTCCTTCTAATATCCTTCTAAAATTTATTTATTGTCCTTCTAATATCCTTTAAAATTATTTCAAAAATCGACCTTTATTGTCCTTCTAATATCCTTTAAAAATTATTTAAAAAATTTACGTTTATTGTCCTTCTAATATCCATTAAAAATTATTTAAAAAAATCCACGTTTAGATTCCTTTTAATATCCTTTAAAAACAATTAAACAAATCAACGTGTGGATTGATTTTAATATCCTTTAAAATTTGTTTAAAAAATCCACGTTTGTATTCCTCTTAATATCCTTTAAAAATAGTTAAACAAATCCACGTTTGAATTCCTTTTAATATCCTTTAAAAATTATTTTAAAAATCCACTTTTGGATTCTTTTTTAATATCCTTTAAAAATTATTTAAAAATTCAACGTTTGAATTCCTTTTAATAACCTTTAAAAATTATTTAAAAAATACACGTTTGGAATCCTTTTAATATCCTTTAAAAATCCACGTTCGGAATCCTTTTAATATCCATTAAAAATACACGTTTGGATTCCTTTTAATATCCTTTAAAAATTATTTTAAAAATCCACGTTTATTGTCCTTCTAATATCCTTTAAAAATTGTTTAAAAAATCCATATTTATTGTCCTTCTAATATCCTTTAAAAATTGTTTAAAACATACAGATTTATCTTCCAAGCAATAACCTCCGAAATTTTTTTAAAAATCCACTTTTATTGTCCTTTTAATACCCTTTAAAAAATGTTTAAAAATCCACGCTTTTTGCCCTTCTAATATTTTCCGAACATTTTTTAAAAATCCAAGTTTATCGTCCATCTAATATCCTACTAAAATTGTTGATAAAAACATGTTTATTGTCCTTCTAATATCCTTTAAAAATTGTTAACAAAATCTCCCTTTATAGTCCTTCTAATATCCTCAAAAAATCCAAGTTTGTGTCCTTATGGATCCTTCTACAATTGTTTAGAAATCCACGGTTTTTATCCTTCTAAAATTGTTTAAAAAATCACTTTCAGCGTCCTTTATGAATCCTCCTAAAATGGTTTGAAAATTCACGTTTATTGACCTTTTAATATTCTCTATTTTTTTAAATAGACATTAATCGTCCTTCTAATATCCTTTAAAAAATGTTTAAAAAATCCACGCTTATTGTCCATCTAATATCCTTTAAAAAAATGTTTGCAAAAATCCTCAATATCCTTTAAAATTTTTTTAAAAAAAATCCACATTTGTATCTAATATCCTCCTAAAATTGTTTAAAAAATCAAGTTTATCGTTTATCCGTTTAAAAATGTGCCAAAAATCATCAAAATTCCGAATATAGGGAGGTACCGTTATATGGGGGCTATACAAAAACGTGGACGCATACATACAATGTTTCACCACCGGAGTTAGAACCCATTATGTCTTAGAAATACCAATTTTTAGACAAATCCGTGAAATTCCGTGGGGGCTATACCAAAACGTGGACCAATACATACAATGTTTCGGCACCGGAGCTAGAACCCATTATGACCCACAAAAACAAATTTTTAGACAAATCCGTTAAAAAATGTGGCGAAAATCATAAAAATACCGAATATTGGAAGGTACCGTTATATAGGGGCAATTACCAACCATGGTACAATGATATCAAGGCTATGATACCATATGATTTTAATTTTTTTATTTTCTTGGCTTAAAATGACATCTTTATTTGTTTATGTATGTGTTTTCTTTTCAATAACAAAAAACTTGTTCAGAAAATGTACAAATTCGGGTGCTTTCAAAATGTTTATTTCAACGTATGCATCGACAAAATCTAGAGTTTTTGTAGCGAAATAATACATGATTTTAAAAAGAAATGTTGACCTTTCATTCAGTTATCGCGTTTTTCAATTATTTATTCAAAATAAATGTAACAAGTTGTTTGATTTTTTATTGTTTTGATACTAATTCTGACATTACAAGCAAAACAGGTTGACCTCTATACTTGCAATTTTTTCAAAGTTGGCCTACCTTCTCTTCATTGTAACATGTTACCAACCATCTTAGACGCAATACAAATTGTTCTACCAAATGTTAAAGCTCTACTTCAAATAATGTGGGCTGTTTCGTGATTTAAACAGACAGACAGGGTATGACAAGATGTAGTGACGTTTGAACACCGGGGTCAAATTCTCCCAATCGATATCGAACAAATTTCGATGGAAATCCCCATCCATCTCACACCTTTCTAAAGAATTTCAATTGTATTTTGTATTTTAATAATTTTGGTGTTTTTATTATTAGATTTTATTTTTATTAATTTTATTTCTCCTTCTCTTTCGTAGTTTTTTTTTTTTTTTTTTTTTTTTTGTTATAACAATTTATTTTTAAGATATTGTTTTTTAGCAAAGCTTGTTTAGTTTTTAGTTATATTATCGAAGTGATGTTTTGTTCATTTTTTTTAAATAAAATAAATATACAGTGTTTGTTAATCTTGAGGAACTGAAAATAATTCAACTAAAATCACACATATTTTTTGAAACTTCATTTGATTTATCCAAAAGATTTTTTTTTTAAATTAAAATCATTCTGGTCTGTGGCTGCTAAGTTTGAGAAAAGCAACAATACAGGGTGAGATGAAAAAAACTGCAACCAACTTCAGACTGCTGTCATTTCTAAGCCACTCGTCCGACGGCTGTTAAAACTATTCCAGTAACAGCTCATTATATTGTTCATTGTTTGGTAAGAATTTTCCAGAAAAAAAAAAGTTATTCGTGATGGAATACAAGCGTGATAGTGTAATTTCTTTATATTTGGCTGGAAAATCACAAGTGGCTATGGTCAGAGCACTCCACCATTAAAATGTGAGTAAATCTTTTGTGTCTCACACCATCGCTCGTTACCGTGATACTGGTAGCGTAGCCCGAAGGAAGTGGACGGAAGACAACAGCAACATCAGCAGAAATGGTTCGAAAAGTAGAGAAGCGACTTGATCGAAACCAGCGTCGCAGTGGCCGAAAAATGGCTCGTGAGCTGAACATATTGCAATATTCCATTCCATTCTGCAAATATTGAAAAATGAACTCGAGATAAAGCCATTGAAATTCCAAAAAGGACAAGATTTTACACCGCAACAGAAAGAAAATATACTCAAAACAGCTAAAGAGTTGCTTCGCTTGGCCGAAAGTGGTGAATTACCGAATTTTGTTTTTCTCCGATGAGGAAACATTCGTTGTCCAGCAGATTATAAACAAACAAAAAGATCGTGTTTACTTGCCAAAGAGGTCAGCTGAAAATTTGCACCTTCGGTTGGCCACCAGAACTCAAGCACCGGCCATGGTGATGGTGTGGGCCGCCATAACAGCCGATGGTCGCTCTCCACTCGTATTAATCGACCGTGGCATCAGAATAAATGCCGAATATCACAGCGAAAATATTCTGGAGGGTGTATTAAAGCCTTGGGCACGCAAACATTTTGGCCGCAGACCTTGGACATTCCAACAGGACTCAGCACCATCGCACTCAGCTCGCGCCACCCAAGAAAGGTTACAAAATGTGGTTCTTCGCTTCATTTCCAGCGCATAATGGCCACCAAAATCTCCGGATACCAATCCGTTGGACTATTGTGTCTGGAGTATTTTGGGAAGCAAGGTTGGCACTAAAAAATACCAAAATGTCGATCACCTCAAGCCAGAGCTTCGCTGGGAATGGGCCAAAATACCGCAGAGCAACATTCGGGCAGCGTGTGACGGTTTCATTGGCCGTTTGAAGGCCATAATTCGTGCCAAAGGTGACAAATTCGAACAAATCTAAACTTATTCTAAAATTTGATACTATTTCCGACATTTTTTGCTTTTATTCAAAAAAATTTAAAAAAAAATATATAAAAATCATGGCGTTTGACATTGTTGCAGATTTTTATCTCACCCTGTGACGCTTCATGCCGATCTTCACTCCAAAATCCCGAATTCTGTATCGAAAAATGAGCTTTGTTGCTGAATACAGAAGAGCCAGAAGAACTTTGTAGCATATCCTTCAGTTTTATAATAAAATTCAATGATTTCTAAGATGTTTGACATTGATTCAAAATACGTAACGTGCATAAATATTTTAAACCATTGATGCCAAAGAGATAGTAGCTATAAAAATCACCCTTTAGGTACTCTAAAAATAAAATCATTTTCAGAATGTGCAGAACATATCTTAAAAATGCGGGGTTAGTTTTTCTAAGTCGAACTATTTCCATTTCCTCAAAATGTATTAGTCATTTCCTTTTGGTGTCACCCTTGACTTTCAAAATCTTTTCATTGTCGATTTCAAATTTTATTTGTGAAATTAGTTTTTTTTTTTTGGAATTTCTTCTTGTTGGAATTTTGATTGACCAAAAATCAAAATAATTTAGCTATTTATTATTAATGTATGTGGCGTTAAGGTGCATTGTTGTTGTTGTTGTAATTATTGCTTATGTTTGTTGTTAAAAAAATAATTGTTCTCTTCATCTTCTTTTTTTGTATATTGTTTGTTTTATTAACTTTGCTTAATGTGTGTGTGGATATTTTTGTTTTGTTTTGGTTTTGGTTATATTCTAATATTATTAAAAAAAAAGATTATAAACTATATATTTATTAAATTGCCATAATTTATTATCATAATATTTTATTGTGTATTTTTTTTTAATTTTATTTAACTAAACCACAGACAGACAACACAATATAAGAAAGGAACGAAAGAAGGAATAAAACAAACAGGCTGGCATTAGTCTCCGCGAACACATCTTTAAGATGCGTTTATTTTTCACGGTTTGTGGGGGGCATCTATGGAAATACTTAACACAAAAAAAAAAACTATAAAAATATTCGAACAACTAAGTATTTGTTTGTGTTTTTTCTTATATTTTTGTTGTTGTTCTTTGTATTTATTTGCAAATATAGGGAACATGATATTTTTGAAATATTCACTTTAATAGTTTGTCCATTTAGTTTGCTCTTTTATGTTGTATTTTTTGTTTCGTTTTTGTTTTTTTTTTTAATAATATTTATTTCCATTTTGTTTTAAATAGTGAAATTCTTTTCTTTTGTTGTTGTTGTTGTTATCAATGTGTTTTTTTATTAAATAGTTTTAATTTGTTGTTTGGTTTAAATATGTATATATATTTTTGGGGTAGTGTTTTTTGTATGAGTTACACTTTACTCATCATTATCATTTTCATCATCATTGTTATGATCATTAGCATCATTGTTTGTTTTTTCTTTTTGTTTATATAATAATTAATTATTCTCTAAAAATAGAAAACAGAATTTGTATTTTGAAAATTAAAAATATATAATAGACAATTTACAAAGCCGGTCCACCGGGATATTCTTCATAATCATCACAATCGTCTATGAAATCTGAAAATAAATCTGGACTTGCGTCGTAGTCTATGTGAGTTTCAGATTTTTCTATATTTGCCGCCATTTGACGTAAATTATCCACACCAGCCAATAGTTGCCTGAAATGAGGGGAAAGAAAACGTTTTAAAAATGCAGAAAAATTACAATTTTTTGTATCAAGCCATTTTTAAGGTGTGGTGAGTTTCTACAAATGTTCACCTCACTTAAAGAGAACCAAAATAGAGAGATTTTTATAACAAGGACTACAATTTTCATAATTTGAGTTAATTAAATCAAAAATTACATTTATCAGGGACGTGGTGAGTTTCTATAAATATTCACCTCACATAAAGAGAACCAAAATAGAAGGATTATTATAACAAATTCCACAATTTGAATTATTTGACTTATTTAAATCAAAAATTATAATTTTCTGTGGTGTGGTGAATTTCTATAAATAATGACCTCACTTAAAGAAAACCAAAATAATGAGAATATCATAACAAGACTACAAATTTTATTATTTAGGCTAATTAAATCAAAAATTACATTTATCAGTAGCGTGGTGAGTTTCTATAAATATTCACCTCACTTAAAGAGAACCAAAATAGAGAGATTATCATAACAAAGGCCACAATTTGAATTATTTGAATTATTTAAATCAACAATTATAGTTGCCTATGGTGTGGTGAGTTTCTATAAATATTCACCTCACCTAAAGGGAACCAAAATAGAGAGATTATCACAACAAAGGCCACAATTTTCATTATTTGAGTTAATTAAATCAAAAATTACATTTATCAGGAGCGTGGTGAGTTCCTATAAATATTCACCTCACCGAAAGAGTACCAAAATAGAGAGATTATCACAACAAAGGCCACAATCTTCATTATTTGAATTAATCAAATCAAAAATTACAGTTATCTGTGATGTGGTGAGTTCCTATAAATATTCACCTCACTTAAAGAGAACCAAAATAGGACGACAAATTTTCATTATTTGAGTTAGTTGAATCAAAAACTATATTCATCATTCATATTTCTATAAATATTCACCTCACCCTGGCTATACCCTTAGCCATATGGCTAGAGAGGATATATGTCATTTGATACGACCAAAACGTGCCTTATCAAAATAACGGTTTTATACCCTATGTCTCTTTGGCTCAAATCCGTTTCAGGACATTTGTAGCCGATCTAGGGATGTCCATCCATCCATCTGGCTAGCTGGTGAGCACGATAACTCTCGAAGGGAGTACCCGATTTGATGCAAACTTGGTACATCGTAATGTTATTGTCAAACTTTGATGGAGTTCGGAGATGGGCAATATCGGTCCACTCCTTCTGGTACCTCCCACACAAAATGTGAAACATTTTCAACGAAAATTATTTACTGCACAGAAAGAGAAAGGATAATCCGATTTTGCTGCAACTTTGCGAATCCTAATATTTGCATCAGTGCAAATTCAGGTGCGAAAATGGACAATATCGGTTCACTCCAACAAGTACCTTCCCCGCAAAGGTTTAACATTTTGAATAATTATAACTCTTAGAAAATGTTACGTAGAAGAGTCCGATTGTCTTGAAATTACACACATCACAATATTATTTATTAATCCAAGGTCTGGTGTGACGATGGAATATATCGGTCCATATCTTCTGGTACCTCCCCCACAAAGGGTCAAAATTTTGAATAGCAATGAAGCTTATAAATCACGAAATTAACATCCGATTCCATTCAGACTTGGCACATCTCAATACATCCACAAACACAAAATATGTTATAAAGATGGTAGAGATCGGACCATTCTATTTGGTACCTCCCCCACAAAGAGTCGAAGTTCTGAATAACCAAAACGATCATAATATCCGAAATAAGCATCCGGTTCTCTTCATATTTTACACATCCCATTATTTCTACTAAAACAAGATCTGCCGTGAAGATGGGATATATCGGTTCACTCCTTCTGGTACCTCTCCCACAAAGGGTAAACATTTTGAAGCTCATAAAAAGCGAAAATAACATCCGATTTTATTCAGACTTGGTACATCTCAATATTTCCATCAACACAAGATCTGTTATAAATATGGTAGAGATCGAACCATTTATTTTGCTACCTGCCCCACATAGGGTTCATGATTTTGAAAAACAAAACGCTCAAAGAAAGCGAAATAAGCATCCAACTCTCTTCAAATTGCACACATCCAAGCATTTTTGCTAACACAAGATCTGTTGTGAAGATGACATATATCTGCGAACCCCTTATGTTGCCTCGCCCACAAAAGTATCAACATTTTCAATACTTTTGTGTGTCCTAACTTGCCCTGTGGATATTCGTCCACACTCACACATACAAACAACTCTTCATAATCACCTCCAATCTTTGGAATGTTTGCAAAAAAAAAATGTCAACTTACCTCAGGTTTTGTTCTGCATTTGATGCTGCCCTCCGCAAATCTAAAGATAACTGTTGTGCTCTGGACGGTCTAAGGCCAATAACGCCCGAAGTACCCGCAACGCCACCCACGCCTCCACCCACACTTGTACTACTGCTAACACCCATACATCCACCTCCCAAACCACCACTGCCGCCAGTTGTCGCTGCAGCTGCTGAATTCGTCGAGCCGGCAGTACCAGCACGATTACTGCTTGTTACAGCAGCAGCTGCATATGAATTAGGAGGCGATCGATCACAGTTCGCTGCCACATTACAACCACCGACAGCACCTTCTTCACGCATTAAATCCCTTTCACGCCTTAAAATTTCCACCTCAGAGGTTAACTGTTGTACCTGTAGTTTAAGTTTTGTAACAAGATTTTGTACGGCTGTTGAATGTTTTTTATTACTATCCAGTGTCTCCTCTGTTTCTGATTTATGTAAACGTTGCTGTTCCAATAGTTGTCGTTCTAAATTATTTGCTCTCGCCGTCTGTTCACTGAGGGTGGCTCGTGTCTCGTCCAATTCGCGCTGTAATAGGGTATTATCTGAACGTAACCTTGAAAGTTGTGTGCTTAATGTTGACTCTTCCGGGGAACCAACTGAATTTGATGGTAAACCGGCGGCAATATCAGCCAAGCGCTGTGACGAATGTATTATGGGGCCGTCTGACAGGAAATCTGGCAACATTTTTGAGCCAACCGATGATGAGGGTGGCTCTGGCAAACCCATATTGAAACCGCCCATATCGGCTGGACCTGGCAAGGGAGCATTATCATGATTTCGTGACCTGGCACCACCACCCACAGCCTGATCATTGCTGCCTGGCATGTCTTCGGCAAACGCTGCTATGGGCGATGAAGGTGGTGAATTGACATGCATATCATTAGCGTACCAGGAATCCATCCAATGATCTTGGACAAAATCGGGTAATGCTGCAGCAGCTGCTGCGCCACCAGGCAAAGGATTTGGGGGCTGAAAATCTGATGGACGTGATGATAGGGCACTTCTTCTACTCGTCGATGCACCTGACGAACTCGATGGACCACCACCACCCCCACCGCTGTTATTTTGATTTATAGGCAAATCCAATTTTAATTTGGCAGCCATGGTCGCATTTGAATTAGTGTTCAAAGTTAAACGGGTGGGTCTCGAATCACGATTAGCACCAATGCCAACACGACGCCGTGGCGAGGTCTGTGGCCTGGGGATTTCATAGTTTGAATAAGAACGTGGCACATATTGCCCTCGATCATAATCTGAAGAATTTGTCGTCATTGTGGATGTATTTGTGGGGAGATTCCATTCTAAAAAAAAGATAAGAAAAAATAAATTAAGCTATGTGCCGTAAATAAATAATGGGTTTTCTTTTGAAAATTGGATTTAGCAGTATCCCGGCTTCAGACTAAAAACTTTATTACCGGTCAGATGAAACAAGAATTTTGGAGATACATATCTCTGCTACAAATAATCCATTTCCCTATTTGGCAAACGACTTCAGACACAACTGCTGATCCTGTAAACTTTTAACCCAACTCACCTGCAAATCGATCACGTTCCCTCTCATCCGGATATAGACGGTAATCCGATGATCTACCTACACCCCCACCTCCCGACGAAGCTTCTCCTGCTGGCAAATCGGCTGTGTTCGATGCCCCAGCATACTCTGCCAGACTCGCCTGCGAGTCAAATGAGGAGAAACGTGGTGAACGTTTCATTTTTGTCGCCGACGACAAACCATCCATACCGCAATTTGTTGTTGCACCACTAACAGTTAGGGTGGACGATACCGAATTGGATTGTGGAACCTTGGGACGGGCACCGGTTGATGTTTGAAGGGAACGTGTTGTAGATATGACAGAGTTTGATGATGTTGTGGACGTACTGCTGCTAACACTCAGTGGCGGATCCAATGATGTGACTGTAGTGGAGGGGGCAGTGTGGGCACTGCTGCTGCTAAGGAAATGTTTAAAGGAAAACGATGAATTCTGGGTGGGTGCTGTTGTTGGCTGAATGTTGTGTGTTGATGTAGAATTGCTTGTGGTGAAAGAGGCAGCATTTGAGGTAAAACTCGCATCACCACTTACACCTGTATTGTGGCAGCCATTATCTAATGTGAGAAAGGTTTTTTCTTCATAACACAACTGTTCGATGTCATGGAACTTACCTTCATGTATTCCGGATCCAGATCTAGCTGACATTTGATAATCACCATAACCACTGGCTTGAGCATGCGATCGATGACCATTTAAACACAAATCTGCAACTAAATCATTTAAATTACCCTTTGCTGCTGTTGGCATTTCCTCGCACTCCCTGCCGCCATTGCCATGATGATAGTAACTGTTTGTCTCATCTTTGTTATCAGCATCTTCTTTGGGTTCGCCAGTGGTTGTCCCTGAACAGCCAACGGCAGCTGCACCGCTGCCAACACCACCACAGTCCTCTCTATCTTTCATGGAATCCAAGGCATTCTTTTCACAGTCCGTTTGTAAATCACTTGCGCTATGTGTAGACGTAGACGGATGATGCTGTTGGTCATTTTCATTAGCCATTATTTTTTCAAGACCGCCGTATAACTTTTATATAAACTCTGCTGCTGCTGCTTCTGTTCTATTCCTTTCTCTACCGTCTTTTTTTCTGCAGGTAAAAAATATATATTGTCCTCTATTCGTCGTTTTCTTTTGCGTCTTCCCTTCGAACCTATGGTATTTTGTAAATATGTGGGTGTACTGCAGTGTGGCGTTGTAAATATATTAAAAATTCACTTAAAGTTAATAAATGTAATTAATTTTTGCAGTAAAAACGTTCTTTTTCGGTGACAATACAATCAAACAATCAAGGAAATGCTTCTTCTTACTACTATGGATCGAATATTCAACGTGCATGGTTAGCAGAAAAATCAAAAAGTATTAGGTAGTATGTCGAAACGTCAAGTCGTTTGGAAGTATTTGCAATGAAAATATCACAAAAAAAAATAATAATAATAAAAAAAGAAACGGTAGAAGAAAAAGATGCAAAGATGAAGTTTTCTTTATCTATCTTTATCTATCTGTCAAAAACGTAAAGCAATTACCTTTAAGAAATGCAAACAAAATGTATGATTTTTTCCGGTTTATTTGTTACTTAAAATGTATGATTTATAAAAAAAAAAAAAACAAACATACAGTGCGTGATAAAAAAACGGCCACCAACTTCAGATTGCTGTCATATCAAAGCCACTCGTCCGACAGCTGTTAAAATTATTTCAGTGACAGCTCTTTATATTGTTTAAAGGCGTACAAAAGCATTTTGGTGAGAATTTTCCACTATCCTTAGAGCACTCCAGCCAGACGTCAACGAAGTGAACGGAAGAAAACAGAAAATAGCGACATTAGCAGAAATGGTTCGAAAAATAAAGAAGCGACTTAATTGAAACCCGCGTCGCAGTGGCCGAAAAATGACTCGTGAGCTGAACATATCGCAATATTCCATTCGGCAAATATTGGAAAATGAGCTCGGGTTAAAGCCATTGAAATTCCAATAAGTTCAAGAACTTACACCGCAACAGAAAGAAAATAGACTCAAAAGAACTAAAAAGTTGCTTCGCTTGGCCAAAAGTGGTGAACTTCCGAATTTGGTTTTCTCCGATGACAAAAAAATATGCATTGTGCAGCAGTTTGAAAACAAACAAAATGATCGTGTTTACTTGCCAAAGAAGCCAGCTGAAAATGTGCACTTTTGGTTGGCCACAAGAACTCAAACGCCGGCCATGGTGATGGTGTGGGCCGTCATAACAGCCGATGGTCGCTTTCCGCTCGTATTAATAGACCGTGGCATCGAATAAATGCCGAATATTATCGCGAAAATATTCTGGAGGGTGTATGAAAGCCCTGGGCACGCAAACATTTTGGCTGCAGACCTTGGACATTCCAACAGGACTCAGCACCTACTGTTGTATATTTAAAAGTCTATTTGACACTTGGCTTCAGCACACAGTTGCAGTTTTCTAGTTTCTTCGTAGTTGAACAACCTTTTTTTGAGCCATGGATTTGTATATGTTTTCCTTTGTTTTTTTTTTTAACTATTTATATAAATTTTAATAATTTTTCATGGAGAATTTTGAATCTCAAATTGATTTGACAGTTCGTTGTCCCAGCAGCTATTCTTCTACCATGATTGAAATTGTATGTTAAATTTGTTGTGAATTTTATTTTAGCACTGCATGCATGTAAACGTGCCATTAAACTGCAAAAAATTGGCTTAAATCATAAAAAAATAAATTTACCGACACATAAATTAGTTGTTTGACGCATATAATCGAAGGAATTGGCAGTAGATGCTCTGTTTCAGAACATGCAGGAAAACAAAAATGTTACTTCTACAATGAATTTTTCCTTTATGATTTCGAAAAAAATACAAAACTAATAAATTCTTGTATTTTCTGCAACAGAGCAAAAAATAACCCATTTTATGTAAACGTTAGGTGTAAATGAGCCTTATGGTTCATTATCGCATTTTGTGTACTCTATGATCAGCTGGTTTAAAAGCTCACAATGTTGTGCTATCATCTCAATGTGCATGGCTAAACAGCAAAAGAGAAGAAGAATTAACGTAGTACCTCATCAATTTGTTTTCTAAATATACATAGAATATAATAATTATGGAATTATTAACTGGTAATGTTGAACATTATACACCTCCGGCGGATCATTTGAAACCCTTTAAGCACTTGAATTGTACACAACCCGATTGTAACAGTACATTTACAAATCAATCCAATTTTGAAATGCATTTGGAGAAACATCATCGAGTCTCTGTCGTAGGAGGAAGCCGATCTTTTAACCTGCGATTGTATCATTGCCCCGAATTGAATTGTATTTATCAATTCGGCAAAGTGGATGGAAAACATTTCAAAACAATGAAATATTTGCGGCAGCATTATCAAAAAGTTCATTTGGCCAAGAGTTTTGTTTGTGAAGACTGTGGAAAAGCGTTCACCTTGGATAGTCAATTAAGGAAACATAAACGTGATGTGTGCGGCAAGGCATTTGCATGCCGAGAATGCGGCTGGCCATATGAATCGTTGGAGGCATTATTAACTCATGGCAAACGTAAGGGACATAATGTAAAGGAGGTTATTACCATAACCAAACGGGATGGAAGAATGCCCGTGAATCAGAAAGCGGGGAAATACAGGTCACAAACATCAGCTGGAGCAGTGGAAGTTGTTGTGGATAATAAAAATAAGATTTTGAAAGAAGACGAAATAAATGGTAATTTTTTAATATTTTTAATTTGATTTTCGTTTAAACATCATTTTTTCAATTTATAGGCAATCAGCCAAATCAGTCGGCCGAAACAAATCTCTGTCCAAATCAAATGTCAGCCGGTGTACAAACCGAATGTTTTCCAGAAATGATGCATTACCCAAATAATATTCAAGATATTTGCACTGAACTGGAGGACATACACTCCCTTCTGAGAGATATCGAGACACAAACGGAGCCCTTGCTCTCGGTAAACCAAAACGATTTAGATCAAATGTTGGCCCAATCCTCCCACATGTACACACAGACATGTGATGATTTTCTCAGCGAGTTGGGTCTGGCCGACATACAGACCCAAACAAATTGGCCGTCGCCACAACGAAATGTCGACGAGAAGCTACAATACACTTCGACGGCTACTTCGACCAATCCCTGTATACACGATGAGCTATTAGTGTCCACAGAGACTCAAACTAGTTTCACTCAATGTCTGTTGAATTCTTGTACAGACACTGGAACCAGCACACCACCCGTGAGTTTTGGTAGTCTTTATCATACGTCGCAACACACGCAAACGTGTGATCCGTATTTGGAAAGTTTTGATTTTGGTGGACAAGCATCAGATTTAATGGATGGATTTCAATCAACCTATACCCAGACATGATGGTACGATTGGGATTTTGAGGATAGCTTGGATAGAGGTGGCGGCGGTGGTGGGAATACGGTAGCAAATAATGCTGAAGCAGTCAATGGCCACACCGTTTATGAAACGCAATGTTATAATGCCAATGCCATTGGTGTTGGTAGAGCTGGCTCCATAAAAGGAGGTAAAATTATGAAAACAAAAACATATAGACATTAGATGGAAGACACTTGGAAATAACTACAAGTATACGAAATATTAGGAAAATTATTGAATGTCAATGTAATATGCAAAAGCCCATACATACGTAATTTAATTATTAAAAAAATATACAAATATTTAATTCAAAAATTATTGAGAATCCAAAAAAAAACATTTTTGAATAAAAACCAGTAATGAAATTCTCTTCCTCTTCTCTCGCTTTGTGGCATCCGCACAGTGTTTTTAAGTCTTACTATGCATTTCCTTAGTATTCAGCTACAGATAATGTCATGGAAGATAAAGTTAGTTTTTTTGTTGATGATAAAAGTGTACGGGAGAAAGGGTCTATCGCGTGGTAAAAGAATATAGGTAGATGCAACAACGCTTGGGAACATTAATATGTCAAAAATTTTAAAGCGTTTTGTCAAAAATAAGTAGATCCTCATTTATTTTCTTATACGACGCGAATCGGAGGTTGTATTGATATGTTTTTTTTTTTTTTTTTCAATAATTTTCACAAATTTCAAAGATTTTCAATTCCAAAATCGGTTTGACAGTTCATTGTCATTTAAGTCTCCAAATTCTAGGAAGTGTTCAGACAGCCGAATACTCCATGTCGGCAAAACAGTGTATGAAAATTTGAATGGTACGGTCTTATCGACAAAATGGGTCGTTTTTAAGAGTGGAAGTTTTAGAATGTTGCAAAGAGTTTGTTGCAGATAAATCTGGAAGGGACGACTCATTATAGGAAAAAGGGACAAATCTCGATGCTAGGCTAGGAGTGGAAAGTAGCATTTTTCATTCCCAAACCTATAAAAGACAGTAATGAGGCGGAAAAGAATTAGTTATTTAGTGGCGTTGAGCTAAACAGCCTTTAATGCAAAAAACTTAATAACCGATTTTTCCTTTACTATGTTGAAAAAATGTATATTTTTTTAATTTTTTTTATAAAATATCATAGTTAAAAGTTTTTCATTCCTGCAGTTCTGGAACAAAGCAAACGTTCTTCTATTTTCCGATGAAACATCACAACGATTAATCGAATGCCGAAGTCGATCTGCAGCTCCCTAGCAATATACAATAATCACTGTGCAGTGATAACCAATGCTCTGGATATTTTTGACATTTCTGTTTTTTTTTTTTTTAACTGTATTCTTGTACCATGGACTTACGTATCCCTGGACGCAATTATGACGGAAGAAAGCCAAAGAAAAATAAAATGAAAACTACCTACAATTTTTTCCTTGTTTAAAACCGGTCGGGTCGTGTATTTGTAATACAGGGTGAAATATAAAACTGCAACAAAGTCAAACGCCATAATTTTTACAATTTTTTTTTAAATTTTATTGAATGAAACTAAAAAATGTCGGAAATAGCATCACATTTAAGAATAAGTTTTGATTTGGCCACCTTTGGCACGAATTATGGCCAATGAAACCGTCACACGGTGCCCGAATGTTGTTCTGCGGTATTTTGGCTCATTCCCGGCGAAGCGCTTACTTGCGGCCCTAATGTTTGCGTGCAAAAGGCTTTAATACACCCTCCAGAATAATTTCGCGATAATATTCGGCATTAATTCTGATGCCACGGTCGCTTAATACGAGCGGAGAGCGACCATCCGCTGTTATGGCGGCCCACACCATCACCATGACCGGTGATTTAGCTGACCTCTTTGGCAAGCAAACACGATCATTTTGTTTGTTTAGAATCTGCTGGATTTTCTAATTCGTTTTCTCATCGGAAAAAACAGTCTATTTTCTTTCATTACACCGCAAGTTTTTGCATTTTTGGAATTTCAATGGCTTTACCCCGAGCTCATTTTTCAATATTTTGCCAAATGGAATATTGCGTTATATTCAACACACGAGCCATTCTTCGGCCACAGAGACGCGTGTTTCGATCAAGTCGCTTTCTTACTTTTCGAACCATTTCTGCTGATGTTGCTGTTTTCTTCCGTCCACTTCCTTGACGTCAGGCTACGCTGCCAGTATCACGGTAACGAGCGATGGTGTGAGATAGCCACTTGTGGTTTTCCATTGTTTAATGGAAGGTAAAATAAATCTTTGGAGGAAAAAGAATAATTTCTTCTATTATTAATGCTAATTTTATGCACTTTCGTACAAATTCCTATAAAAATCAACAAACAATAAATTTCAAAAAAGGAATTATGTTACTATGAATCGTACGAATCGTGCCGTATGAACGTGTTAATTCGTGTACCTAATTTTAAGAGCGAATAACGTGTTTGAAATTGCAATGAGAACATAGCATAAGTCGAACAATCGACTAGTCGAGTACTCGGTTTTCACCCAAGTCCATAGTCGAGTTTGAGTTTCAGTACTCAAAGTCGATTACTCTATTAATCGAAAGTCGACTTACATATCCCTAAATTTTTTCCTTGTTTAAAACCGGTCGGGTCGTGTGTTGTGTTTGTACTATGCTCGTTACTCTCCCAGAAATTGTAAATGTGTGTATTTTTATTTGATTGATTGAGAGAAACAAAAAAGAATAAAAAATAACAACAATATAAAAGTAAATAAAATAGAAACAAAAGAAAGTAGAAAAAATTATAACAAAATAAAGAAGATATAAATGAAAGTAGGAAGAAATTAAAAGTGAATGATTTTAATATGAAATAAAAGCCAACCAGCCATATGTTACTTGCTGAGGATTGGCAATTTTCTAAGGAAATGGTTTTGTTGTGTTTGTTGTAGAGAGAAGGCCGTCAAAAGCCATCGAAATCAAGGTGTTCAAAGTGTAGTGTCTAGCTGGAGAAGAGTTGTAAAAACGTTGGAGGATGACCAGGTAAAAGCTGGAATGTGAATCCTAAAATCCAATATCCAGCCAAACAACGTACCAGATAGATATGTACATAAAAAATATACCCCGCTCCCGTGTGATACTCCGCCAGACATCAGCCAAGTGGTGCTGCGTTTGAAAGCCAAAACGATTGCATATTTTTCCGTGGTGCGCAATTATTATTTTTTTCTTCTTGTGTTGAGTACGAGACAACAACGCTCATTTTTTGCTTGTTGTTGCTGTGATGAAGTGGTGGGAGGAAAGGTGAACTAGTCGGGGTAAAGTGAATAGTGGAAATGCAATGTTTTCCTGCTAAAACTGGAAAGTGTAAATATTGGTATTGACACCAAAAAAGCCAAGCCAAGCCAAGTGGTGACCACCAAGGAAATAAACAAATAATTTCCTTAAATTCTTTTTTTTTTTTTTTCAAAAAAGTGCCAAATTAAACAAGGAAGCCAAATGGAAGAAATTTAAAAAAAAAATTGTGAAAAAAATAATTTTCAATAAATCCTAAATCTTCTTGTTGATCTATGATTGTGTGTGTATGTGCGCCATTGGAGTTGTGTAGATGTGTGTAACTCGTCCTACCACTGCGCTGCAAATGCTTCTCAGCAAACGTCGCTGACCTTCTGGATATTGGATATTTTGCCAGCCAGCCAAACAAGCTGCCCAAACGGCTAAACATTGTCCCTTCTTCATTGCAAATTTTGTACTCATCTCCCACCCTGCCTTCGTTTGTCCCCCCCTCCAATCTTCAAGCATGCACAGCAGCGTGAAATAAGAAAAATGTAAACTTTTCCCTTTTTTGCAATGCATCAAACCCAGCCGGGCCACCAAACTAAATGTGGACCAAGGGAGTAGCAGCATGTGTGTAATCAACATTTTCAGGATCAGCAACAGCACTAAAAGAAGGTATGTATTTTCCCTGCTCATCCTGGGGAATCAATATTCACATAAAAATAAGTCTTAATTTATTTCTTTTAAGAATCGGTCGTGTGTCGTGAGTAGACCGGGTTGGTTTTGTGGCACGGGACAAAGACCAACAATTATGCAGTCTGCTTGCCTGACTGCCTGCCTGATACCCACCCTCTTTTTAGTTTTGTCGTCTATTATGCAGGGAGCCATGTTATTGTTGGTTGGGTGCTGCCGGCTGGCTGAATGTGGATGGTGGCGGTGGTTGTTTTTGTTAATCACACTTTAACATCTGTGGGGATTTTAATTAAGATCCTTTAAGAAAACAACAACAACATCCGTAACAACAATAATAACAATTTTTATGTTTCATATAAATTTGGACTCCAGGGGGAGTCAGACCATGAATACTACCAACCGGTGTTCTGCAAATCAACCAAAAAAAAAAAAAAAGAAATGCAAAACTTGTTGTACCACGCCAGCCAACATCCAAGAAGCCGTCATCCGACAATAGCAACAACAAAACAGGGTGAAGGGGGAGGAGGAGTGTAACTTAGCCGAGGAGGTGGTTGTTTGTGTGTTATTTTTATGAAAAACAAAAATCTTCAAAAATAGTTCAAGATCACGTTTTATTGTAGAGTGTGCCGCCACCGCCCGCTCCTCCGTCCATTACTGTTGCTCTTGTTCTTTTGGGAATGGCAATAAATGTTTGTTGCTGCTCACGCTTATAATCCGGTTTTGTTACTATAATTGCTAGCAATGTTGTTTGCTTTCCTTCTCTGTGGATAAATGGTAAAAAAACCCAGTAGCCCTGCTGGGTAATAACAAACTATTATGGCCCAGCTTATTTTGGTATGTAAAACATAAACATTACTAAGAATTATGTTGGACCATAAACAAAATGCCTGGTTACTGTTATTATTTTTTATTTTGGGGCAGAAAAAAGTGAAAATTTTCCAAGATTTATGAATTGTTAATTTTTGGTGGGGCAAAGAAAACGCATTCTAATGTGGAAAGGCAAGTTGTCTCCGGATAATATATGTCAAAAATACAGGCATTTTTATACTCTCCCCCTTATGGCTAAAGAGGGTTTGTGTATATCAATTGATATGACCTCATTAAAATTGGGGTTTTAAAACATTTGAACGAAAGACGTTTCAGGACATTGGGAGTCGACCTAACGTGGCTATAACTCTCGAAGACAGTGTTCGATTTCATCCAAACTTGGTTAATAATAATATTATTATCATAATTTAATCGAGTTCGAAGATGGTATATATTGGCCAACTCCTACTGGTACCTCCCTCACAAAGGGGTCAAAATTTTGAATAACCACAAAGCTTATAAAATGCGAACGAGGCGTCCGACTCTTTTCAAACTTCGCACATCGCAATATTTCTACTAAAGTAAAATCTCATGTGAAGATGAAACATATCTGTTCACTCCTTCTGGTACCACCCCTACAAAGGGTCAAATATTTGAATAACCAAAACGGTCAAAAAAGGGAGAAATAAGAATTCGATTCTCTTTAACCTTCGCACATTTGAATAACTCAACTTACACAAGATCTGGAGGGAAGATGGTGTATATCGGCCAACTCCTACTGGTACCTCCCCACAATGGGGTCAAAATTTTGAATAACCACAAAGCTTATAAAATGCGAACGAGGCGTCCGATTCTTTCCAACCTTCACACATCGCAATATTTCTACTAAAATAAGATCTGCTGTGAAGATGAAATATATCTGTTCACTCCTTCTGGTACCTCCCCCACAAGGGGTTCAAAATTCTGAATAAACAAAACGGTCAAAAAAGTGAGAAATAAAAGTTCGATTCTCTTCAAACTTTGCGCATTTGAATAAATCAACATACACCAGATCTGGAGGGAAGATGGTGTATATCGGCCAACTTCTTCTGGTACCTCCCCCATGAAGGGGTCAAAATTTTGAATAACCAAATTGGTCAAAAAAGGGAGAAATAAGAATTCGATTCTCTTCAAACTTCGCACATTTGAATAACTCAACTTAAACAAGATCTGGAGGGAAAATGGCATACATCGGTTAACTCCGTCGGGTACCTCCTCCCTGAAGGGGTCAAATTTTTGAATAACCCAAACGCCAATAAAATGTGAAATAAGCATTCGATTATTTTCGAACTTCCCACGTTCAAATAGTACTATTAACACAAGATCTGACTTGAAGATGAAACGTATCGGATCACCCCTTCAGGTATCTTCCCCACAACGGGGTCAACATTTTGAATAACCAAAACGCTTATAGAATGCGAAGTAAGCATTCGATTCTCTTCAAACTTCCCACGTTCTAATATTACTACTAACACAAGCTCTGACGAGAATATGGGATATACCAACTCCCTCTGGTACCTCCCCCATGAAGGGATCAAAATTTTGAATAACCCAAACGCTTTTAGAATGCGAAATAAATAACCGATTCCTTTTAAACTCCACATATCCCAATATTTCTACTGAAACAAGATCTCATGTGAAGGTGGAACATATCGGCCAACTCCTTCTGGTACCTCCCTCACAATGGGGTCAAATTTTTGAATAACTCAAACGCCAATAAAATTTGAAATAAGCATTCGATTATTTTCAAACTTCCCACGTTTCAATATTACTACTAACACAAGATCTGACGAGAAGATGGGATATATCGATCCACTTCTTCTGGAACCTCCCCCACAAAGGGGGCAAAATTTAAAATAACCAAAAAGCTCATAAAATTCGAAATAAGTATCCGATTCTTTTCAAACTTCGCACATCGCAATATTTCTGCTCATGTAAGTTCTGCTGTCAAGATGAAACATATCTGTTCACTCCTTCTGGTACCTCTCCCACAAAGGGTCAATATTTTGAATAATCAAAACGGTCAAAAAAGGAAAAGATAAGAATTCGATTCTCTTCAAACTTCGCACACTTGAATGACTCAACATACACAAGATCTGGAGGGAAAATTGCATACATCGGTTAACTCTTTCTGGTACCTCCCCCTGAAGGGGTCAAAATTTTGAATAACCCAAACGCCAATAAAATGTAAAATAAGCTTTCGATTATTTTCGAACTTTCAACGTTTCAATATTACTATTAACACAAGATCTGACGTGAAGATGAAACGTATCGGATCACCCCTTCAGGTATCTTCCCCACAACGGGGTCAACATTTTGAATAACCAAAACGCTTATAGAATGCGAAGTAAGTATTCGATTCTCTTCAAACTTCTCACGTTCTAATTTTACTACTAACACAAGCTCTGACGAGAATATGGGATATATCGGCCAACTCCTTCTGGTAGCTCCCCCTGAAGGGGTCAACATTTTCAATAACCAACTTATAGAATGCTAAATTAGCATCGGATTCTTTCAAAACTTCACACATCGCAATATTTCTACTAAAGTAAGATCTGCTGTGAAGATGAAACATATGGGTTCACTCCTTCTGGTACCTCCCCCACAAGGGGTTAAAATTTGGAATAACCAAAACGTTCAGAAATGCGGGGAGATAAGCATTCGATTGCCTTCAAACTTCCCACGTCCCAATTTTTGTACTAACACAAGATCTGTTGTGAAGATGGGATACGTCAGTCCACTCCTTCTATTGTCACCCAACCGACCCACACCTGACTGACTCCAGTTTGCAGCCAAATGCTGTAAAGAGAGTGATGTCGTCTGAAGGCCGACATCAGTTAAATAGTCAGGATAAGTGATCCAAAGATGACTGAACTCAGTTCGCAACCAAAGGCTGATCAGAGTTCGATTGAGTTAGAAGACCCCACCGCCATTCCAATCCAATCCCAGGCAACCTGTCTCTTTCGTATTCCTCCTCCATCTATGATTTGGTGATTTGTGGCTCGTCAATGATTAGGAGACGTTTTCGCTTTTTTTGTAATACCTCCTCATATGGGTTTCCCACAGATTTCTAAAGTTTCTGTAATGTGGGCCAAACGTATGTACGTACGCCGCCATGTCATGCCTATAATAGCTAATTTAAATTCCACCAAAAAATTTTGAATGCCTTTTGTTTATTAATAACCTGTGGTTTCGGAACGTGAGAATTATCGTTTTGTCCACATTAACTAACTACCTGGCGACAAAAAATATTTGCAGTTTCTCACTTTGTGGTGTTGTATGGGTATTTCCCACAATTAGTCGGTGGTTTTAGATTTGAACGCACACACACACACACTCTCACACGTTCACAAATATGGTAACGTTTAGTCCTTTGAGTTTCATTGTCACCTTGCCGCCGCCTGATAAAAAAAAACAATTGTTAATTGTTTCAAAATAATAATCGCTTTTCTTTAGTTTCTTTTGTTTGAGTGTGTGTGTGCTCTTTTTTTGAAAATTGAAACGTGCCAGCTAGCACCATGATGGTGACAAAACTATTATTTTTTTTTTGCGGAAGTTCTTGTATTTTTTTTATTGCTTTAATGGAAATAGTCGAAATACTTCTTATCGCAATTTAGTGGCGCGGGAGTTTGAAACAAGAGTTGAAATAATTCCATTTTTTTTGTAGTTACTGATAAGTGAATTTGTTGGGTTATATTTTGTTTGAAAAAATTAATTTTGTTTTTCTTAGTTTTTTTTTTATAGATCAATTTGACATATGACGGAGAAAATGGTCATGATGGCCTTGGAAACTTTTCTAAACTATCAAGAGTTTTGGAGGTCAATATTATTATTAATTTAGCTTAAACAGGACAAATTTCTGCAGTCAATGTCGCCTGGGAAACAAAAAAGCCAAGATTCTGGAGGTACAAATTTATTTGTTTATGCTTAAACAGTCCGCGTTCCAGGAGGTTAATATTGACTAACAGAGTTCAATATAGGCTAGGAACGATTTATAGAAATCAATATGGAAATATTTCGAAACAAGTCATAATGAAGATTGCCTTGGAAATATGTTTAAACAACCAATTTGTCTGGAGGCCAATATGACTTATAGATCCTGGGCTTACACAGTCCACGTTTCTGGAAGTCAATAT